GACATACTTCTGATACTGGGAAACTCCAATGGCTTCGATTGTACGGACTGTGGTTACCACATCTTCATCAGCACAATTTCGAGTGTCCAAAGCTAGTAGTTCTGAGCAGTCGTCCTTAAAAGGGTTCCCCATTTCTGAGATTGCTTCAGTGAGGCTGTTGACTTGTCTTCTGAAGACCTCTTGAGTATTCATTCCCTGTTCATGCTGCTTGTACATGTTGATGTCTTCTCCTTCCATGAACTCGTCCTCGAACTCTCTCAAGAGTCGCGCCTGCTGTGGTCCAGCAACCATCCATCTTCTGAAGGCAGCTGGGTTTTCGGTAAGTCCTACCACTCCACCAGATCCCTTTACCTGTTCGTTGTTTTGCTCATGACCCTGGTCAAGGGGCATGCAAGAGAACTTGTGCCGAGTCTTTTGCAGAACCCACATTTGTTTGACCTCTTCTTTCACTCTTTTCGGTAGGGCTTTCATATCTCGTATGTGGATGGGGATCCAGCGAGCATAGTTGGTGTGATCCATGGCAAAAAAACCAAGGCACCAGAGCCTCCAAAGCCTCCACAAAGAGATCAAAATCCCGGATTCGATGAGCACGGATGAAAATCAGCACAAGTGTTTCATATTTCATGATGATATCCCAATACTGGAACGTGGGACTTGACTTGATCCTTTCCCGTTTCCAGGTTTCAAAAGACGTCTCACTGTCAGACTTCTCTTTCAGTTGCCAAGCGTCTCTCTGCAGATTTTCCAGTGTTAGCAGCGTAACTTGATGACTGTGCCTCGTTCTAGTGAGGTGAGCAGCTTTGAGGAAGGAGTCAGCTGTACCTGAGGAGGCCACACCAGCTTCGGATAAGGCAGCGGTCCAACCAGATCCTTCCAGGAAGTCTCCAATCGTGTTCCATAGAGCCATTTCGATGTGAAGACCACCGAACATCACTACGAAGTGCGCTTCTCCTAAGGTCTCGGGCCAATGCCACTGAACAAACTTGGCAAGGGCAAACAGTGGTTGGTCCAGTGCAGTAAGTGGTGTCTGGCAGGGGTTGAGGAATTGGATAATTTGCCTTTGGATCTCCATTCCATGTTTGATCATGGCAATGGTTGAAGCCTTTTCATAGAAGAGGGGCAAGAGAGCATTCAGTGCAGGAGGATCTGAAGGAGGCGGCTGTGTTGACGCATGAAAAGCAGACCAGGCAATGAAGTCTTCTTTCTCTAGCTTGTCCTTCTTTAAAAGTGGGCTAGTTTTCTCCATCCAGCAGGCTTCTGCAGCGATTGCATCTTCGAGTTTACCTTCAATGGCACTCAGGGATGTTTCGGGCACTTCAAGTTTAGAAGTCTGACAAGCCACGGCGGGAACAGTTGTATAATCTTCCGGGAGATAACACTTATTTGACGAAGGGCAGACTACAACGGGATCTCTGCAGGTTCCAGAGTTGGATACCGTGGGAAACTGGAAGATACTGATTCCAGTGCCATGGAAAGAGCCCTTGGCTGTAGTAGAGGACGGATTGTGATCTATGTTATCCAAAGCCCCCGCTGTGAACAGACCTTTTCTCAGATTTGTGGGACAGACAAGTTCGTCGTCTTCAAAGCGCTTGCATGCAGCATTTTCTAGGCATTTTTCTAGTTCAATAACACGGTCATAGCTAACACTGATGCCCAGTCTATGCAGGATGTTCATTATCTTTTTGCATCTCGTGAGTGTATGAATACATAGACCGAGGTAGAGAGGAAGGGGTGGTTCCCGTTCTTTTGAATGCCTGCTGGTTTTCGCCACAGAACCTTTGTTTTTTACATTGAAGAAGATCATCTGGGCTATGGACAGACAGACCTGGGACTCGGTAACATCTTGGTGTTTAACGTTAGGCCCATTCAGTAGCATGGCAACTAGCGTCTTGAGGCTTGCCGGTATAGAATTTTCCTGGCAGTTATGCTTGAAACTCCCGGTGAAGTTGAAGGATTCCCAATCAAATATATCTTGCCTGATCCTTTTAACGAGTTTAACCATTGAAAGAGCTTCTGATGTGTAATCTCGTAACTGCATGGCCTCACTGAGTAGTTTCCTCATCCCCTCATTGAAAACAAGAAGTGTATTTTTTCCGACAGACTGCTCTTGACACTCCTCTATGAAGTGCTCCAGTAATCGGCGCTTAAGTCTGGTTCTATTGATAGTTTTGTCAACTCCAAGGTCCCGCAGCCGACTTTCATATAAGTGGTGCAACTCGGTGAGTTTGAAGATGAAAGTGTCATTTTCAACACTGCTCTCAATGTAGGAAACAAGTTCTGCAAATACTCTTGCTTCACGTCTCTGTTCAAAGCTTGTATCTGGGCAAGAGGTTGCTCTTTGTTCACTTCTGTATCGACTCTTGTATGCAGAAAGGCAGTCAAAATGGTATTTTGCCTCAATTGCTACGAGGTCCCCTCCAGAAATTCTGGCGAGAAGTGCTGTATCTTTGAGTTCTGTGGCCATCATTCTCAGCTGATTGTCTAGTATCATGGTCGAACAGTTGTGTAATTTTCCAGATGTCTGAGAACAGAAAATGCATGATTCTTTATCTGGGGTGCCAATGGCTTTGCGTTTGGACCTTTTGTTCACCGGTTCTTGTTGGGAGTCACATTTAGTACGTTTTTTTGATTCGCGACGTCTGAGAAGTAGTGTGCGTGTAAACTTAAGACGGCAGGCTTTGTGCCACTGGGCACGATTTTCCAGAAGTTTCTCGGCTGTAACTCCTTTCAAATCAATGTCTACTGGTAAGGCTTCAAGTTCCTGGAACTCAAGTGCAATGTCAATAAACGCTTGATAAACCTCTAAACCATTTTTCTGCAGGCTATCTGCTGGGCATTTCATGTCATTACCTACTTCACCACAGATGACGCAAGATTTATCCATATTTAAGCCTGAGAAAATGAGAAATAAGAGAAAGTTTGTGGATTGAGTTGGAAAACAGACAATATATCTGTTTACTAATATGGTTGACAATGGGCATACATTTCTGTACAGGCCTATACTGTGTTTGCACCCCGTTGTCAATTTTCTCTACATCTAAGTATTGGTTCTAGTGAACGGACAAAAATTGCATGCTAGTCAATATGATTATCACTACTGAACCTCTAAAATTAATCGCAAGTTTATTGTCCATAATGTTTGTACCGGTATTTCAGATTTCCAAAAGATGTCACGTACACATTAATATTATACTTCACGATTGGCAACTCCATTCGTGAATTTAAACCATATACACAAAGTTAAAGTTCGGGTTTGCCTCTCACAGTCCCCTATATACATATTTTATCTCTATTTTGGCGCCCCTCCCCTCCATGCCTTTCCCCAGATTTCTGTAAATGCGGGATTATCCAGTTTTATAAAGTGAATGATGTACAGATCCTTTACCTACCACTCTTTGCAATATCGATGGTTCTTGAAACAGGTGTATACCTCATTCAGGACGACGGCCGAGTGAAATAATAAGTGTAACATCAATCTCTTGAGGGCGTGGTGGAATAATTGTTTGATCAATATTAGATATTGCCATTTACCGATGTATAAACACTAGCTCCCTAGGGAAAGTTGGAAAAGATCAACCGGATGGAAATGGAACCCACGAGCTATTGCTTTCTAGTACAGACGACTTACCACACGACCACCGAGCAAAATAATTGTTTTAAAATAGATTTGCGATAAAACAATACAATTTCTTGGTCAAAACTAGCTGGAGTTTTCAAATTAAGAATTTGTCTACGTATCGAACACCAGACATTTTTTTTTAAGTAGTGCTATTATTACACAAAAGACGTTTAAAAATAATAAATACTTCTTCTTTTCTAAAAAATAAGTCATAAAGGTAGTGTTTAATACAGTTATAACCTTTAAAATAGTTGGTAACAAGAAGAATAAACTCCCCAATCAAATGAAATGTGTCAGGAAGGGAGAAAAAATGGGTCAATAGACGCACCCTTCAATCTGTATGTGCAACAAAAATGCTACACAATATTAGCAGCATTTTATATGTATAAAAATGTTAATGAATGACTCTCAAATCAATGTGATATATATGATTTAAAGATAATTCATCAAACTATATGTTGTTATTACCTACTTTGACTTTAAAATAAGAAATAAATACTTTAAACTACATTGAATATTAATAAAGGGCTGATTAAAACACTAAATTCAAAGCAAAAGCTTAACAATTGCCGCCATTTTGGATTTATGCAAATAAGGTACCCTTCCCAGATAATTTTCAGGTGTCACCCCTTCTAAATATCTTTCCTAGGGCCTAAACAATGTATCTGCCAAGTTTGGTGCTTTGGACCAGTCGGTCACGATCTTGTCGAAAAATGGACCTAAGCCACCTGACTACAAGCTCAACGCGCACACCAGCATGCATTTACTTCACCATGGAACAAGAATGATCCTAACTGTTCAATAGTAAATCCATTCACCATGGGCAATGGGGACTATTTGAGCCCCGGCGTGAATGGGAGCAATAACCAATGTCACGTGAAGTGAGTTCCACCAATTAAATGACATTATAAGGATCTGTATTAACTATAATCATGCTAATTTAGGAAATGTGAGGCCTGCTAAATATTGCTTAATTTAGTTCCAATTTCCAGGTCTGACTGAGTGTGGCCTCCTTATTACGCAGCAAAACCGGGAGGAAGGGGGGCATCTCTCCCTCCCCCCCCCCAACCCACCACACCCCCTACCCATATCGTGAGCCACACAGCAATGTATATTTGTGTCCCTGTAAAAATCCTTCCGTCTTTCCAAACAAAACTTTCTCCAATTTCCCCTCAAAATGACAGGATAACAAATCATCTACAGAAAAAGTAGATTTTTCCTGCCATCGGTCCGACATTTGGAATTGTTTTCCTCAAGTTTTTTAAAGTTAGCACTGTGACTTCACCTTCCCCCCCCCCCCCATACGGTCCCAACGTTTGAAAGCCATGTTAGAAAAATGTGAAGTTACCATCAACTTTCATACTTTTTATCCAAACAACAGAACAGACTCGTGGGCATCTGTGAGTGGTGAACACCCGTCAGCTCCAATGGTCTGCCTTCCCCAAGCCCGCTGCAGATGGTGGCGTTATGTCGTCCCGTTCCTGTTCTTTGTTAATTTCTTCCTGTGCCTGGGGCTTCTCTTCAACTACAGCATTCTGTTTGTGAGTCTGCAAGACGAATTCCAATCCGGTTCAACACTGACAGGTAACCGAGAAAAAAAATGATTGTGGGTCAAAATATCCCAATTGTATGTGGGTGATGCCTAGCCCGACTGCGTCTGGCCGTACAGTACTATCGCAAGCTCGTACTACAGAGCTTGCGATAGTACTGTACGGCCAGACGCAGTCGGGCTAGGTGATGCCATAAATTAGTCTGAGTATCACCAGTTATCCACGGAGCCAAGTCTCCTGTATAACGTCTGATGTTTACGAAAACGTAAATATGTCCATGAGCGACATGTTAACAGATAATGAATTTCGTCAAAGTATATCCGCATTTAACATCCTCAGTACAAACATGCTGTGTAGACTCTTACGCCCGCGTAACTATGTATGTAGTTGTTGGCTGTATTGTTACAAGCTACCGTAGGGGGCTATTTAGTCTTGAAGCCGGTCTTTATATCGCATGTTAATACACCCCCACGTGATCGAGTCTTGACCAATCGGAAGCTATCAACTCTCCAAGGTACGGTTTTTATTAACCCTAACTCCCCAGCCTAATTTACTAGGAACCATACCCATTCTGGCAAATTCCAACACCCACATGGGAAATTGTACACACACACTGTTGGACTTAGTTTCTGGAGGTATGCCAAACCCAATGCAAAAGACCATCAGTTTAGGGGTACTCTACCTATCCCAACAGATTTAAACAAAACCTGCTGTTGAACTTTGATGGGTTGAGTTCGGTTAGGGTTAATGTGATATAGATTCATAACGGTGATTTTGCAATACCGTTACGATAGCAGTTGAAAATCACGTTGCGGAAGCCGTGAAAATAGCCACTACATTTGCAAAATTGGGTTCTTTGTATATTTTTGTCCGCAGGATGGTTGGGATCTCTGTCCATTGCTTTGCTGTGTCTCCTCAGCCCAGTCAGCAATCTGCTCCACCCAAAGCTGAGCCGACGAGCGGTCGCCCTGGTTGGGATGACCGTCTATTGCGCAGGACTGTTCTTGACGTCCTTGGTGCCCGCCCTGGGCTACGCCTTTGTGACATATGGAGTCCTGACGGGAGTGGGCGGTAACCTCGTCGTCAGCGCATCGATAGGAATGACGCTGGACTGGTTTGTTACGGGAAACTATTCCCGGGCTGCCGCCATTGGTTTCACAGGATCGACGTGTGGTAAATGCAAATGACGTACTTATGGACCAACCAGAGCAGGCTATTCACGGAGGCCTCCTTCAGTGGCGAAAGCATTGTGCGAGATATTGTGTGACGGTGTAGTGTGAATATCCGACTCCGTGAAATATGGACCCATTGGTGGTATTGCGCATGCGAGAGTACGATAAGGCCAAAAAAAAAAAAATATTTGGTCTCTGGTCAGACCAAAGTTCCGGAATTGACGCGGCCACGCGGCTGGATTGTACAGACAAGGTGGGTACTATTTTGCTTTTTTGGTGCCTCATGTACATTGGTGTCCTCCATAATTTGCCTTGGTGCTTTCGATCATTTGCCTTGGTGCAATTTCCCATTCCTTGGTGCTCTTTGGTAAAAAAAATTGAGGTGCGGAAATAGAGGGCGCTGTTGGAGCTACCGCGGAACATTTAAGAAAAAAAAAAGATCGACGCGCATGATTAAAATCCGACTTATTTTTTTTTTTTGGCCTAATATGCTATTTTTAGGATCATAATGTAAGAGTGACCTGACACGTGCGAGGGATTAACCAATAAAAGGGGAAAAGGGTCCGATTTTCATAGGAGTCGGATTTTCATATTTCAACGGTACTGCCCCATGACAGATTATCTGAACAGTAGCTGGCACAATGCTTCCGCCATTGAAGGGGCCTCCATGTGAGTGTACAATGATAGCGTGCTCGGAATGGTCAATAACATCTGGTGGATGTGCATTCTTCTTTCTGATGGGACGGACACAATAGGAGGGCGCCATTCGCTTTGGGTAAATCTGGGGGCAAGTTTGATCAAGGACCATAGTTAACCAAGTAGAAAAAAATTGCCATGAGATGAGTGAGTGTTTCTTTACATAAGAAATTATTTTTTTATATATTTGTTGTTAAAGGCATGCTTAGCTTCAGTCCTTTGCTGACGGCTGCCATCACCCGTTATGGCTGGCGCGGGGCGCTGAGGCTATTTAGCGGTGGGATACTCGCGGTTGGCACACTGACTGGATTGCTCTTCGCTGAACCGCCCACTGCTGAGGCTGAGGGTAAGAACGACAGGGTCGTTAAAGGTAATGGACAACATTTGAACACAAGAGGGCGCTTTTTTACCTCTTTCGAGAGCTCCAGTAAAAATATACACACAGCATGGGTGAACATACTGGCTCACCTGCATACAACGCGAACTACACGTGACTACATTCGTTCTGAATGTGCACAGCAAACCTGTCTTGGCGTGAGCGTCAGTGGTCTCCCCCAACTCTCCCTTTTTAATCGTTGAGGGGGTACTTGTGCACAGAGTCCCATAATGTGAATCGACTGATTTCAAGACTAGTAATTTATGGCAGATATCACTGCACTGACCAGTTGAACATTTTGTGTGAATATAGGTGCCAGAAAAAGACAAACAAAAATGGTGGGGTTTTTCAACATCAAAATTACAATTGCTGCAACTTGTCTCGGGTGAGATTCAACGGTTACAGGTCATGCCTGAGTGCGGGTTTTGTCTTGGGGGGAAAAAAAATTCCTGCCTGTACCTGTATCCGCACGAACGCACAAGGTTAATAGCTGTCTTGCCCCCTAAACAGATCTAGTAAGCTGTTTTTTCCAACATTTGCTTGGCCACAACTATTGGAAAATGATACAAAATTTTACTTTTCCTAAAATGACAACATGTGCCAAATCTATGATTTCACATGATGATGCCGTTTACCGGTACTTCCAACCAAGTGAGCTTTGTCGTAACAGTTTGACAAAAAAAAATTGGGGGGCGAACGTTGTCCTCTTCCTTTAAAGGGAATATACATCATATGCTTTTGCTGTAATTTTCAGAAATGGATGGAATTGGGGGGTTGGAAATATATAGCAAATATAGTTACACTGACTTTTTTGAGGTTTTGGGTTCGAAAATGCTATAAAAACCAAGAAAAACAATCATTTTCCTGTAGTCTGGTTCCCTGACTCCATATAAGAAGAAACAGAGCAGTTTACATACATTGGGGAATTGTAAGGTCAGGGAACCAGTCTAGCTGGCTCGTACCCGCTCATAGGTTTGTAATCGATTGCAAACAAGTGCGATGGTCAATTGGGGCCAGTATTTGAAAAAAGCCAGTTTTTTTCCAACGCTGATCGGCCGATCAGCGTTGGAAATTGATACAAAAATACCACTTTTCTTGAAAATGACAGTATACCAGGTGCCATGATTTTACAGGATGCTTTACACTGTCATTCACTAACAGTCCAGCAAGGTATTTCAAAATGATTTGGTAGTTTTATTTTTTGATGTTTGCAAATGTTGTATTGTCCCTTTAAAGACACCTCTCAAGACCACAAAAACAGCGCCGACACCGAAGTGGCGATGCAGCAGATACGCGCAGGTGGTATGGAAGAGAGTGGGTACAGTGAAGTACAGGGAACAGAGTCAACAGACCCCGACCCTCGGGACATCCACGATGATGACAAAGACCAGGGTGAGGTTGATAAAACCGAGGCGACAGAAGCTGACGACACCTCTGCCCCACGGAAGGAACCCGTGCACGTGGACACTGCGATCACCCGTGGATATCTGGCCATGATTAAGGACCCAGAGCAATGGCTTTGGAGCATTGGGAACCTTCTGGCCTTTCTGGGCGTGACATTCTTCAATATCAATTTTGTAAGTGAACATTTCATTTGTGTTATGCCAAATAACTCTGTAAACAATTGGTCGCAGTTCTTCGAATGAATGTCTTTTTTATCTGCAAATGTCTTTTTACAGCAGAGTAATCACAAGTTAAGGGACATTACATCCCTGAATGCGCCAAATTGGGCTACTAAACACGTTTTAAACGAAATGATGTATGACTTCATGCTTCTTTAGCCTATGTGCATATATATTCATAAATACCTCAGGCAGTTTAGCTATTCCTATTGGTCGAGAGCCCGTCACGTGGCCGGTCTTAAACGGATGATAAAGACATGGCTAGCTGGTCTTAAACACTTTTCCAGTGTCACAATAAAATGTGGACTCCTAAAAATCCAGTGCCTCTTACCGTTTCATTGGTTGAACGTTCACAATCCTCACGTAGGCATGCGCAACACTACAAGGGAGTCAGAATTTTATAGTTCTAAATTCAAAACGCAACGCCCCAGGTGCGTTCTGCGTGACATCGCACAGAACATGTTACGCGCGCGTCAATCTCCATAAAAGGGTTGTTTACATCTTACTCGCCAGCTGAACATTCCATTATTTTGCTAGAGGGATGTTTCAAAAAGCATGAAGTGAACTTGTTGAACAAAATCGGGATTTTTTGAACGAATTATTTGATATTTTTTTACGGATAAGGTATTTATGAATGGGAATAAATATGTGCTCGGTCGGTATTTATCACTCTGTTTAATACCGCTTAGAGTCTGGGTGCTGATAATTACCCTCGCCTCCGGTTCGGGTAATTATCAGCACCCAGACTCTAAGCGGTATTAAACGAGTGATAAAAACCTCCGGAGCACACATTTATTCCCTTAATATAAAGTTTGTGTACAAAGTTCACAAAAAGTAATAATGAGCTAGTAGCAGTGTTGGAGTACTCGTACTCGAGTACAACTCGAGTACACACAAGTACTCGGCCCGTACTCGATATCACTACTCGAATTTTGGCACGGACTTGTTGGTTTGGACTCGGTACTTGACTCCAGTACTCGGGAGTACAAATCGAGTACATTTTAAAAAAATAGATTCTATATACAGTGTACATGTAGCTCATCCTGGAATGCAAGGCGAGTGCGGTGGCGCGGTTGCAGTCTGTATTACAGCCACAGATATAGAATAAAATGACTAAATCGGCAGCGCGTGCATATGCCCCATTCACTGTGCGATAAATGTGCACCATTTTTGTGTTCTCTTGTGGTTGGCAAAAAATTAGCCTAACTTTATAGCCTTAAGTAGGACATAAAGTTCAAATTATAACAGTGCTCACCGGAAAATAACTTTCAAGCTTTCGGTGTGTAAACCTTCTTCAGGGGGCTATGGCTTAATCCCCTGAAGAAGGTGTACGCACCGAAAGCTTTGGGAGTTATTTTCCGGTGAGCACTTTTATAATTTTAACTAAGTTATGTCATAATTATGTTCCACAGTGCTACGCAACATCTACACTTTTGTCATTCATTACAGTTAAATGTATCTGTCCTCCAGCACGTGACCTAGCTCAACGCGCGTGAAGCTAGAAATGTGCACCGAGTATGTACCTGCTGCGCATACACGTACCGCTTTCCGTTTCGGTTACGATAATTTTATTTTCTGCAAACTTATAGGCCTAAACGTGTAAACCTTTACATTGTGCAGGCCATTTTTCTCAAGAGCAAATGGTTTTCAGTAAAAGCCTTTGCTGAATTTTTATTCATACAGATGGGAGTAAATGCTAAAAAAATTGGTAGTAATGCAAATGCCAGTTTTTATTCATACGAACTACCGTATGGTATTATTTGTACTTATTATGGACTTTGTTAATATTAATTTTTCGCGATTAACTTTAATAAATGCAGTAATTTTTGCACAAAATTATGTGCATTTATATTTTCAAGGTAGCCCCAACCCAGCCTTGAAATATGACAAGTAAATATTTGAAATCTGAAGCATTTACTCCTTTTATATTCATATGAAACGAAGTAAACGCTTATAGTGTAGCTAAAGCTAAAAAGTAAAAAGTAATTATTTTCCTATTTAAGCAAATGGGCAATTACACGGTTATACTCACATTACATTTTTGATGTACTTTTGAGTTTCCTTGGACTGTAATTACCTTACTGAAAAGGTTTAATAACTGTTATCCCCATGGTAGATAGAGTAGACCTAGACCTACCTAAGCACCAAAGATGACATCCAGAAATATGTGTTATGTATGATAAACAAGACGCACAAAATCGGTTACTCACGTTACATTTTCGTAACGTGAGTAACCGATTTATTAATGTCTGTTTTGATTGTGTGATATTATTTGTGCGCAGGCTAGTTTCTTGGACGGTCTCCATTTCGATGACAACCAGATAGCCTCGTCCATTGTGATTTTTGCTAGCGGGGAACTCGGTGGCAAAGTCCTGATATCCGTGGTGGGCGACTGGCTGCCCTTCTCCTATCTGTACGTGCTCGCCGGATCAATCCTCTTATGCACCGTAACACTCGGCTTACTCTCTATCGCTAAGACATATACAGCAATAGCAGTCCTTGCTGTAGGTGAGTAACAAGACAAGGCAAGCCTAAAATTGTAGTCACGCAAACTGCTGTCTGACTGGATTGACCTGAAAATATACAAATCTAGAAAATTGATGCAGCCTGACATTGCAAACTTAACAAATTCTTCTTTAAAGGCCAAATGACGGAGAGTAGTTATGGGTGTCCGTCCAAACGATGACGATGTCTCCCCCAATGCAGAAAGGAAAATTAATTTAAAAAAAAATATAAATTACACACCTATGAACAGGTACAAGCCAGCTAGACTTGTTTCCTGACCTTACAATTCCTCGACGACTATAAATTGCTCCGTTTCATCACAAGTGGGGTCAGGGAACTAGACTACAGGAACAAGATTGTTTGTCTTGGTTTTCCAGCATCTACGAACACAGCTCTTCAAACAAGTCAGTGTAACGATATATGCTGTAAAATACTAAGCCCCCAAATCCATTCATTTCAGAAAATTACAGCAAAAGCAAATGTTGTATATTCCCTTTTAACAAGCTGTAACTGGAGGATAAACCCAGAGGTACCACGTATGGTTAGTTTTGATAGTCCGAAGTCCCATTGGTCCGAAGTCCCATTGGTCCGAAGTCCCATTGGTCAGACGTCCCATTGGTCCAACAAAACCCAGAGGTACCACGTATTGGTCCGAAGTCCCATTGGTCCGAAGTCCCATTGGTCCGACGTCCCATTGGTCCCCAAATCCTATGGGGCGTCGGACCAATGGGACTTCGGACCAATGGGACTTCGGACCAATGGGACTTCGGACCAATGGGACTTCATGTTTAATTAACATGGTTAATTTAATGGTCCGAAGTCCCATTGGTCCGAAGTCCCATTGGTCCGAAGTCCCATTGGTCCGATGTCCCATTGGTCCCCAAATCCTATGGGGCGTCGGACCAATGGGACTTCGGACCAATGGGACTTCGGACCAATGGGACTTCAGACCAATGGGACTTCAGACTAATGGGACTTCAGACGAATGGGACTTCGGACCAATGGGACTTCGAACCAACGGGACTTCGGACCCATGGGACGTTTATACCGATGGAACGTCGGACCAATGGGACTGTGGACCAATGGGACTTTGGATCAATGGGATGTCGGACCAATGGGACTTCGGACCAATGGGACTTTGGACCAATGGGATGTCGGACCAATGGACCATCAGACCAATGGGACTTCGGACCAATGGGACTTTGGATCAATGGGATGTCGGACCAATGGACCATCGGACCAATGGGACTTCGGACCGATGGGACTTTGGACCAATGGGATGTCGGACCAATGGGACTTCGGACCAATGGTACCTCGGACTATAGAGATGTCCTCCATGTACACCCCCATAACATCTTTAAGTAAACCTTGAGTTAGCACATGAGTTAATTTTGCATTTTCTCCTAATTGCATGTTCTTGTTTCTTGATCTGTAGTTTCAGGCTTCTTGCGTGCTGGTGTGTATAGTACGTCGCTGGTAGTCGCTACAGAATTGTTCCACAAGACCTACGGAACAAGCGGCAGCCTGACCCTGTTCATGTTTCCGGTGGGTGTTGGAACCCTTGCTAGTGGACTTCTATCAGGTAAGACACGCACTTGTTGGAATCTCATTTTTCATTTGAATTTTGTGGTGGACTGATGTGAGCGCCACTGTATGTAAAGAGACTTTACATATCTATATACTTACAAATCTATATACTTATCCCCTTTTTGAAGAAAAAAATACTTGAGTCCTCTGCCCCCCGGCCCCTAAAAAAATTTGGCTCTGGATCTGCCCTTGATGACACTATACCTGTTTGTAGCAGTAAGCTACGCATAATGCCTTGCAAAGCTTGCATTTCCTCCACAAGATTTCTTTAACGGAAATATTGTTGATGTCTCATACATGTAACATGGCTCACTTTAATTTTTTGCCTCTAGCGCCTTCCTAGAGCAAAAGTTTTACCTGAAGTTTCACATTCCCGTTCATAAATTGTGAGTTCATCTACCCCTTACAAAGGTAGCAGGGAAATTTACTTTGGCTTGATTTTCCGATTTTATTTCAAAGTGTCACAGTGAACCCTTTGAAAATGCGCCTAGAAATAATAAAACAATTTTCTGACAAACTTCTAGTTGGGTATGTGAGTGGAGATTATAATGGTTTATCAGAATTTTTTTCAACTTGAAAGAAATTCTTAAATGTTAACTTGAGATTTTCCGACATTCATCAAGTGCGCCACGTTATGGAACAATCAGATGATTTTTTGCCCAATTTCCGGACGTCACCGTTTTAAAATGTCGGGCTAAATTGTTGGCAAAGGTTCAACAGTGAGCATTATTAAGGTAAAAGCTCCAGTATTTAACTGAATGAATTTGAAGTTTGTCAACACAGAAGTTTGGCAACACTGCATGAGGAAAGTCGGGGGAAACATCAAAGTGTGCCACGTTTAAGGAGCACGACTATATTTCTGCGCAGTTGAGTGACAGCACAAATCCTGCACAGATCACACCAATTGAGCAAATGTACAATTGAGACGTGGTGTTTGGCAGTGTAATCGCGTCTCTGAGTTGACAAGTCTTTTTCCCTCTTGCGTTTTTCTCCTGTTGCCAGGCATCTTGTACGACATATCGGGTGATTACGTCCTCAGTCTGATCGTCATTGCCGCCATCTTTCTTTGCGGCTCGGCAGCCTTGTTGGCCATTCCACTACGCAGGAGAATTCGATCACGTGGTCTGTGTTCGCACGAAACTCATTCCATCCAAGGATAAAATCGTCGTGTGACAAGGAAAAAGGACGTTAGCAGGCCAGGCACTCAAAAAGCACTTTCAGAGATAATCGAGTTGAAAGTTTTTGTGCTGCCATTTCTTGATGAAAAATCACATGAGGTTGAAATTTTGACTGATGACATTCGTTAATAATTACAATAATATTGTACATTTTTATGTCAAAAAATTACTTAAGTTATTTCAATTTTCATGCTAACGACCTTTTACCACGAACTTCCCAAGCCTTAAACGTACGCTTTTAAAGCAGCATGTTAAATCCTTACGTCCTTTTGCCGGGAACAATATTGGCTTTGCGTACCCACTTGAGTGGGAAGTTAGCGCGCTTCGAACATTTTTTGTTACATTAGTATTACACGTTAACGTCCTTTTGCCGGGCACAAATAATGAAAACCCTCCTTCCGTCTTTTGTTTACTGTTAATTACGTCAGAATACGTAGCCCCTTGCTAAAATATGTATATCAAATGAAAGATATTTCCAAGCTCTATCGATTATCCGAAAAATCTGACTTTGACCTTTTGACCCATTTTTGGCCCTTACGACCTTCTTCCAGGCACCCGACGAAATATACTCTCAAGGTCTAGCAAATTTCAGCAGATATGTGTCCTAATGTAATTCTGGAAAAAGAACAATTTCCTTTGGGGATAATTTTGTTTGCAGGATGAAGCTTCAAATATTGAGAAATAAATAAAAGTCTATTCAAAATGCTTCGGACTGCAGTGACCTGAAATCTGGCATATGACCCAACCATACAAAGCGATTTTGAATTTGTCACAAAGCTACTTTTGAGATACAGCCTATAAAAAAAAGTCACACATTTTTTATCCACATATTGTCCAACTTCAACGGAATGTTGAACTACGTGATATTATCGAATTGAAGAGCCAAGTTTACTCTTCCAAGTGTGGCCTACATGTTGAAATGAATAAGTGAAAAAAATGTCCTTAAACTCAGGTTTTGAGCTAAGCACCAGTGTGTTGTACATTTTGTATACAAATAAATCGTGACTATTTATTTTGACAAAATATTATATATACAGGTAGTATAGAATAATTTCAGGGTGTTTTTTTCCTGGGGTGTGTGTGCAAATTGAAATAAATGACTGAAAAAGCATTAAACAATACTGTGTTTTTGTCAATCTGGTCTTGCAGCTTATTGCAATAAATCTCGATTTTTGACTTGTCAATGTCATCTCGTAAGGATAAGCCCTTGTTAGCAAAATCTTGCATTCTGGGGAAAAAAAGAGGGAGGTTTTCATTTCCTTTACATTTTTCCTGTGTGGTCATAATGGACCTAGGGAGAGGGTTTACCCACCCCCGGTAATTTTTCAGTCGACATTTTTCAGTCGGTATAACGAACCATCAAGATATCCCTTGCTTTGCTTCACTCTCCAAAACACTTAAATATTTGCACATTTTGTTTGTAAAGTCAATGGTCTGTGTTAGGGTTAATCTTGTCAGGAGATTCCCATTTTAATGTGATTCGTCACATGAATAGCGCCACGTAGTGTCAGATGTCTAGTGATGTCGCAATGAAGATCACCTTCATATTAATGATGTCTAGCCAAATCCCCCTCTGCACGCCATTTCAACCCCAAAATGTAAAACTGATGATCGTTTTACCCCCCAAAAAGTTGGTTGCACTGGTCAAAAATTGCCTCAGATCGGACCACAGAGCGTCTAGTAGTGAGGTACCTTAGTGAAAAAATTGTGACACAGTGGACAAAAGCACAATTTTTTCACCAAAGCATCTCCATGGTATACCTTTTCGAAAAAAAGACGGATGCAAAAAATTGGATGATGGGAAGGGCATACATGTATGACGTCATTATGACGTCATCAGCTAATTATTACATGAAAAAAATATAAATTGATAATAATCTTCAGAACTACAAGCATTACAGCAACAAATGTGGTATCAAATTAAAGGGGACAGCAAGCTCTTTCATTTGAGTGGTATGTCATGGGGATGGAATATAGTTAAGGGTGATTTTGTTGGTCAAAAAAACCTTTTTTGGTCAAAATACATGTTTTTTAGGCTGAAATCATGGATTTTGGGTAGTCACATTGACACTTTGTTTAAACATGCAAACAGTATGTGGTATTGTGAGATGTTGTTTTTAAGTTCGAGAGAAAAGTTCAAATTCTATGCCAAAAGAGTTTTTGTAATTGATTATTAGTATCATAAATATGTTTAAACTTGTTCCAAAGATAAGCGGAAAAGTGAGGCATCTTATAGCGAGCTACATTAGTAACAAAAATGCTAAGGATCGTTACATGGTATTTAAAAGTACCATTTTTTTCACCAAATGTGTTTCTTTGCAAATGTGTTATGATAAAAAATAGGGTAGGATGCAAAAAATCAGATGACAGGAAGGGTACTTTATGACGTAATAATGACGTCACAATATACTACCGAGCACATACAGTTGTAGAAAATAAGGTCGTGAAGCGTTGTGATGAGATTCCAAGTAATTAATTTGACATTTTGAGGGTCAGGGAATTGAAGAGTGATATAATCAGTGACATTTAAGTAACAATAAGCTGATTTGCTGTTGCAGTGACGTCACTATTTTCAAATTTTCATGAAAAATCTAAGCATTTTTGATTATAAATCTAAAAATTAATGTGGCCTGACGTTGCGAACTTAGCAAGTTCTTCTTCAGAGGCTAAAACAGAAATGACAGAGGCACATACATTAACAAGGGGGTGCACACAAACATGCAGGGATGAAAGAAGAAACACAAAAGGAGGATTAGGTGGGAAAGGTGTGGAAAGATGCAGGGGAGGGTGGTTGAGAGAACAAAGAAACAAAGGGAGATGGCAAACCACAAGGGGTCTTTCCCATTTCCCATTCTGGTCCCTCCCCTGTTCATACCAGACCCCTTGTGGTTTGCCATTTCCCTTTGTTTCTTTGTTCTCTCAACCACCCTCCCCTGCATCTTTCCACACCTTTCCCACCTAATCCTCCTTTTGTGTTTCTTCTTTCATCCCTGCATGTTTGTGTGCACCCCCTTGTTAATGTATGTGCCTCTGTCATTTCTGTTTTAGCCTCTGAAGAAGAACTTGCTAAGTTCGCAACGTCAGGCCACATTAATTTTTAGATTTATATATTTCAGGTCCACCCAGGCAGTAAGCAGTTTGCAGCAGTCTTACTTTTTTTCAGTTTTGATTAAGGAACGTGGTAACCTGAAATAGATTAACAGATTGGCCGGAAATGGTGATGGTACGTCTTTTAACAATGTATTACAAACGGGGGCCGCTCGATAGTCCGAAGGTCCAATAGTCCGAAGGTTCTTTAGTCCGAAGGTTCGATAGTTCAAATGCACAAAATTTCCATGATAAGGGGGGTTCGTTAGTCTGAAAATGAAATAAGGTTCGTTAATCCGAACATTTGATGCAATAGTCCGAAGGTTCAATAATCCGAAGGTTCATCAGTCTGAAGGTTTATTTATCCGAAGGTTCGATAGTCCGAATTTAGAATAAGGTTAATCAGTCCGAAGGTTCAATAGTCCGAAACGAAAATAACAAGCCCGCGGGAACGGGGGGTGCTGTGGGTGCTGCAGCACCTCCAACTTTTTGGATTGGGGTGCTGAAATATGCTTCAGCACCCCCTACTCCCGGGCAAAAATGTGTTCCAGCCAGCAGTGTTCTACGACGTTGAAATTGCGCCACTGCGCTATACATTATGCTTGCTCTAAATATATCTCCTTCGTTTTGTTCGTTTCTAGTTTTGCCGCGGCTAAGCGCGGCGCTTAGAACGTCTAGCACAAAGTAATACTGTAAAATATCAGGAGGAGGTATTTTCTAAATTTTCAGGCAGTGCAGAATCGATATTTCTCTCAATGTATCTAAAATCATGACATGTCTATGATATATTTCCGCCATGATGGAAGCTTTGACCCGAAAAAAATAACCTCGGCCATGACAATGGTGGCAAAGTTGATTATGCTTGGCACGATTTTTTTCTTTCGATCTTTCAATAGGGGCAAAGTTCATACCTTTCCCCTGAAGGTTTTTCTTTTCATTTAAAAGTTTCATTGACGTTGCTAGCATTCTGTACTCAACATTAACAAATATCAAAGTTCACACACATCCCAACCTAATAGGAGTGGGACGGGCTTCCATTGAAACTAGTTCCAGTGTAGTTTCGTTTTAATAAAAAAGCTATTCATGTGTTACCCTTTGCAAGTTTTTTCTCATAAAAACTCAGTAGACCGATAAATCCTTGCCTAGCCCCAAATTTGCCACCTACCGATCATAAACATAAAGATGCATTTGGTCTGTTAGTCTTTTATATTTGCCATTCCCTGTAACAAACAAATAACACTGCAACTATATCAAGAGCTACATCGTTTAGGCCTATGTGAGTATTTTTATGAACAGAAATTCACCCGCTTCCAGTGGAACAATTCACCCGCTTCCAGTGGAACCATTTTGTTTTAACTTGAACCAAAAAACACCCTTTCGGGTTTTATAAGTTTAAGTATATACTTCAGTATATTTCATCACAGTGCATCCAGAATCCAACATTTTCAGGGGCCTTAAAGCAGGCCCCTTGCCCTGTGGCCCCACGCCGTAAGGGCTCGGAAAATAAAACAAAACATACACGACGGAATTTACTAAATGTAAGAAAGCAGCCTAGCAACAATAATATTTACATGCGATGTCATGCATAATGATACAATTCTTTGTCCAGAATTAAATGGAACAAAGAATGGAGATAAAAATACAGGGTTTTCGACTTTTCAGTACAGTAGAAACGTTATAAGAGCAACAGTATATTCTAAACAAAAAAGTGAAATAAAATTGTCTTAATAATCTCAAAAAAACGTTTGCTAAAAAAGTCATATGAAAGTGGCCAGAATTCGCCTCATATTGCACCACAGAGCATCCATATTCCAAAACTTTTAGGGGCCAAGCCACGCCGTAAGGGCTTTGCGCTCCGCGTTCGCATTAATTTTGTCCGTCCTTTAGAAATTCCAGCACCCCCTGGCAAAAGTTTGTTCCAGCGGGCTTGAAAATAAGGTTCAATAGTCCGAAGGTTCGATAGTCCGAATTGACAATAAGGTTCGATAGTCCGAAAGACTCTATGATGGTCCGATGGTCCGAATCGACAGTAAGGTCCGATAGTCCGAATCGACAATAAGGTCCGATAGTCCGAATCAACAGTAAGGTCCGATAGTCCGAAGAGTCATACTGACGAACCGTATTGCCCATTCAGACAATCGAACCTTATTCTCAATTCGGACTATCGAACCTTTTTCTCCATTCGGACTATCGAACCCTATCATCTATTCGGACTATCGAACCTTCGGATTAATTAACCGTATTCTATTTTCGGACTAATGGGACCTTCGGACTATCGAACCTTCGGATTATCGAACCTTCGGACTATTGAACCTACGGACTAACGAACCTTTGGACTAATGACCCTTCGGACTAGAGAACCTTCGTACTATCAAGGCTGTAACCATTACAAACACAATACCAGTGCAGCAAGTCATGTCCTGCAGTTTGTAAAGGTTTTTAGTTTGGGACGTGAAAAAGACAAACAATTATCCATGATGCACAAGCACAAGTGTGTTTCTCGATTAAATGCACCATCCTTGTCGTTGATGGACCGTCTATCCTATTGAAGTATCCATCAGACATCATCTTCTGTGTGACACGAGCAGAGCATCTCTGAAGGTCCACTGTGTGAGTAGTTTATCCTTTCTTGTTTCCACAAAGCTGGATTGCGACTGAGATCGTGCAAATAAATAATCTTTAAAAAAGCTTCATCTGTAGTCTTGTTTATTAATTATTAGAGATTTTGGTAAAAATGAACAGAAGTCTTTGTAGAAATTGTAGATATAATTCATCTTGCGTAAAATATACCTTTGCAAGTTTACAAACTTCCACAAAACGTATTATTTTGCAACATTGGAAGTTTGGAACGTATAATTGGTTTGAAGATTCTACCTTTTTATTGCTTATGTGAACTGTTACTATCGTATTTCAGGACAGTCATCATGGATTGGACTGCTTGCATTATCTGCATGCAAACTACACCAGAAAAACTACGTTGTCCACAAAAAGGCTTAAATTGTAACGCCAGAGAAGTATATGCTCAATTCCTGGCTAATGTTGAAGGGTTTAGCGCAATAAATGCATTGCCAGTTGATGTAGAATATGGAGCCGAAGGGACAGTAGAAACTTTTGTGGAAAATAATGCCTCATGGCATCATTCCTGAGGTAACATTGATGAGATAATCATGACGTAAGACATTGCATTTTAACGAATCATTGATCACAACAGGGGATAGGAGCGAGGGTCAAATGTACATGTACATACATGTTTAATTTAATACATTAAATTAGAAAACATCCCTCATTTTATCAAACTATTTGTATTTAAATCTTTTAAAGAACTAAGAACAAAATTGGCAACTGCACTGATTTCCTTGATCTCAGAAACGTATATTAAATGTAAAAAAAACGATCCATGGCTTATTCCTAACTAATATCTCAATTTTAATGTATAAGTGTGTAATAATTAGCCGATGACGTCATAATGATGTAATAAATGGCCCTTCCCATCATCCAATTTTTGTATCCTACCTTGTTTTCGAAAAGGTAAACAATGGAGATGCTTTGGTGTGAAAATGGTGCTTTCGTCCACCCGTGTCACGATTTTATCACTAAGGTACCTCACTTTTCCGCTTAACTTTGGAACAAGTTTAAACATTTAAGATACTAATAATCAATTACAAAAACTCTTTTGGCATAGAATTTGAGCCTTTCTCTCTGACTTAAAAACAACATCTCACAATACCACATACTGTTTGCATGTTAAAACAAGGTGTCAAAGTGACTACCCAAAATCCATGATTTTAGCCGAAAAAACAGGTCTTTTGACCAAAAAGGTTTTTTGACCCTCAAAATCACCCTCAACTATATTCCATCCCAATGACATACCACTCAAATGAAAGATCTTGTTGTCCCCTTTAATTTGATACCAAATTTGTTGTTGAGATGCTTGCAGTTCTGAAGATTATTATTAATTTATATTTTTTCATGTAATAATTAGCTGATGACGTCATAATGACGTCATACATGCCCTTTCCATCCAAATTTTTGCGTCCATCTTTTTTTCGAAAAGGTATACCATGGAGATGCTTTGGTGAAAAAATGGTGCTTTTGTCCACTGTGTAACGATCCTTAGCATTTTTGTTACTAATGTACTCACTCTCACTATAGCATTTGTTCGGATCAAAGTACATTCCCTCCTCCACTTTTGAGAAGCAATTGACGCCCTTGCAGCCACGCCCACTTCGTCGGTCCATTACAGAAAGGATCACAATACCGACCCAATTTCAGCAAATGTGTTCACCTAAGTTTCAGCAGCAGGCTAGATCATCGTTGGAGTACTAACGGCGGCAAAAGAACGATTAACTTGTAAGTTGTTTTTATACAGAAAATTATCACCTGCTTGTACATGTATTAACTTTAACGGTGGAGGATCACTGAAACCATTAAAGCTATAACGTGTGTTCATCATCGATCGTGGACGCCCTCTTTTGTTCGTACTTTTTAGGAAGACTCCCATAGGTTTTGCACACAACCCCAATCGCGGACGTGTGCTGGGAATCGTGGACAATATTGTTCTCTTTTGTTCTCTGGTATTTTTCGTCCACAATTTGAAAAGATGAACACGTACATCCTGACCACCAACACTAGCCCCTCTGTCTCCACCACTGACCAGAAACTATACTCGGGCTCGATTATGGCCTTTTGGCAAAACCACCACATGCAATACTGTACATGCATGGACCGGCCTTCACTGTTATGGCTGAGCCTGACACTCTGTTTAGGTGTCTGTGACTAGGGCTTATAGTTTTGTATTATCATGCGGTTTAAACGTATTTGTGCCAATTGTGCACAATGACAGTGATTGAGCTGGCTGCTTGATGTGTATGAGAACTGTTTGATGTATAGAAAAGCAAAGGTCATCAGCAGCACAATTTTCAGCAGTTCAAAGCTGCAGAAAGCAATTTCAGTGTGAGGTATGCATCATCCATTTTTCCCACAGTAAATTCATGTGAGATTTGACCTCAGTGAGGTCATGTTGGGCATCGCTGTATAGGATTGATGACGTCATATACACACAGATGCCAACAAAATACTAACACTTGCCATATGTGACCCGCTCTGCAAAAATGAGTCTGATGTCGCATAGCTTGAATTCCAGCTTTCACCACTTTTAAATGGAAACAGTGAAAATTTGCTCAAAATTTGGATTTTTTGTTTTTGTTTTATTTCGGTTGTTTGATAGTTTTAGTTCAGATATCTTACACAGAAATTTAAATATTGTAAGAAAAAGACTAACAAATTTATGATTTTTGGTGATTTTCTTGGTTAGTTACAGTGTATTTGTAATTTTTAAACCCTTTTTTCTTCATTGAGACATTTCTTGCTTTGCAAAAACTTGACAGAATTAAAAAAGGCACAACAACCAAACGTCCTAGAGAGGCCCATGATATACCAAATTATTGCTTACTTCATTCCCATTTTATTAATGTAGTTAACAAAAAATGTCAGTTTTGCCACAACAGACTCATTTTTGTGGAGCGGGTCACATATTAAGTTTCATAAGTTGTTTTAAGTAGTAAGTATAGTATTTACTAATGATGCCAAATGTAGCCGTCGGGCCTGCTTTCAAATTAAGTTCCAATTTCCGGGTCTGACTGAATGTGGCATCATTATTATGCAGCAAAACCACCCCCACACCCCCGACCCCAGCCCATATCATGAGCGCACACAGCAACGCATTTTTGTCCCTGTAAAAATCCGACAGTCATTTCATTCGCAAACTTTCTCCAATTTTCCCCTCACAGGATAACAAATCGTCTGCAGAAAAAAATTGATTTTTCCTGCCAAAATTGAACGACATTTGGGATTTTTCCTCAAGTTGTTTCTAGTAATTAAACACTGAGACTCCGCCCTCCCCCCGCCCCCCACAACATTCGAATTAGCCATGTTGGAAATGTTAAGTTTCGATCAAGTTTCATATTTTTTATCCAAACAGCAGAACAGACTCGTGGCCATCTGTGAGTGGTGCCCATCAGCTCCAATGGTCTGCCTTCCCCAAGCCCGCTGCAGATGGTGGCGTTATGTCGTCCCGTTCCTGTTTTTTGTTCAGTTCTTCCTGTGCCTGGGGCTTCTGTTCAACTACAGCATTCTGTTTGTGAGTCTGCAAGACGAATTCCAATCCGGGGCAGCACTTACAGGTAACCCACAAAATTGAAGGGCAAATTTAATTTGATTAATATCACCCCGACGCGAAATTTCATCTTATAACAAAAAATTGTTATTGGTCAAAATATCCCAAAAACTGTATGTGGGGAATGATCACTCAAGGCTATCGGTATACCCAGCCCCACTGGAACAAATTTTTCCAGGGGGTGCTGGAATTTCTTGAAATAAAAATGCGAGCCCGGAGCACCGAAGCCCTTGTGGCATGGGTTTCGGGGCCCTTAGGTTAGTGTCACCCCTTATCCACAGAGCTAAGTCTCCTGTGTAACGTCTGATGTGTCTAAACATGCAGATATATGCAAGCTGCCCGCCATGCAGCCAATCAGAGTCAACTTTACTAAATCGTGACGTCCCAAATCAGGACTAATGGTCCTAATGGTCTTTTTTATGATCCTTAGAACAGCAGGTCCTGTTGAGTACAAGAAGCCTGAATCACTGCTGAGACAATTTTCTCATGGCTTTTGGGAAATTGCGTTCTTTGCAGGTTGACTGGCCATAAGGTCAAGGCCAAATTCTGCTAAATGCAATTCAAAAATCTGTCAGATTCATTGAAAATCTGCCAAATTCCCAAGAATAAGTCGAAATACACTATAAACACATAAAATCACATGCAGATGTTGTTGTTTTGCCTTAATTAAGGTTCAATTAACATTATCATCAATCTATAGTCACATAAAGATGTATATGAAATTGCGTAAATTTTAGGCAAAATGCCGGGTTGCGTCACAACAAAGTCTGGTCTCCAGTGAACCTCGGCGCCTAGTCCAGCCAACCTGTTCCATAATGCAAGGGTTTGTGGAAAGATTGAAGCTTTTTCTTAACAAATGTACCATTTCTTTTCAAATTTGCTACATTTTTCTGTCAAAGATTCATTTTTGCAGACTTCTGCCAGAAATCTGCCAAAAAAATCCTATCTGTCAAATTTTCTGTCAAACATTTTTTTTTTACAAAAAAAATCTGTCAAAGTTTGCCGAAAATTGGCTAAAACGGTCATCCTGGTTCTTTGTATACTTTTGTCCCCAGGATGGTTGGGATCTCTGTCCATTGCTTTGCTGTGTCTCCTCAGCCCAATCAGCAATCTCCTCCACCCAAAGCTGAGCCGACGAGCGGTCGCCCTGGTTGGGATGACCGTCTACTGCGCAGGACTGTTCTTGACGTCGTTGGTGCCCGCCCTGGGCTACGCCTTTGTGACGTATGGAGTCCTGACGGGAGTGGGCGGTAACCTCGTTACCAGCGCTTGCGTAAGAATGCTGCTGGACTGGTTTGCTACGGGAAACTATTCCCGGGCTGCCGCCATTGGTATCATGGGACCAACGTGTGGTAAATACAATGACATTACTCTTAAATCTTAAAGACCATTGAGAGCAGGCTATGACTGTACATTCACGGAGGCCTCCTTCGACGGCGAAAGCATTGTGGGGAGATATTTTGCAAATTAACTGCCCCATGACGGATTATCTGAACAGTAGCTGGCACAATGAGTTTGCCATTGAAGGGGGGCTCCATGAGTGTACCGGTACCAAGGGCGGATCCAGGAGGGGGCAAAGGGGGCCATAGCCCCTAACAAAGGAACCCATTTTTTTAAAGTGACGTCGTAATGAAGGCAGGCAATGAGTACACCACCATCTTTTCCTCAAAAACACTGTTTAAGGTGGTCAGAAATTGCCTCAGATTGCACCACTGAGCATCTAGAATCCAAATTTTTTTTCAAGGCCCTTAAGCGTGCCCAGAATCCCACGTCGTAATTTGTTTTGGACCCACTTTTTGGGGACAAAAAAAAATTGTTTGCCCCCCAAAAGAATTGTGTTCTGGATCCGCCTGTGGAGTGTAAAGTGATATGGGGAGTCAATTAGTTGGCGTTGCGGTACTTTCCTCGCCTTCCACCACTGTGAACAAGGTTCGAGTCCCGCCTGGGCCAATATGTGGATTGGGTTTTCAGTCCCAGCTTGATTCCGGGGGTTTTACTCAGAATATTCTTCTTGGGAAAACCAGTTGTCTCTTGATTTTGTTTTCTTCGTCGATGCTTCAGGTGTGTGGGGGTTGCTCAGTAAAGTAACTTACAGTGCTTGCACTTTTCCCACTCTACCCGGTTCGTTTTGTTTAATAATAATAATAATAATAATAATAATAATAATAATAATGGGGTTTTCCTCCCACATCTAAAACTGTAATTTCGTCACATTGTTTTCTCTTTACTGGGCCCCATGGAGGACAAGTGGATTCCACTGAATGGGCTATACCCAGTTAAAATAAGAGACAAATGAATATATAGCTTGCTGGGAATGGTCAACAACACGCACATTCAAGGCCGTAGGAAGCGGTACGGCAGGTACGGCTATAGCCGTACCAATAATAACAGGCCTATTTTTTTAAATATATTTTGTTAATGTACACAAGGCCTTGCATGGCCCCAAGGGCGGATTTTTTTTTTGGTTTCTAGATGCTCTGTGGTGCGATCTGAGGCAATTTCTGACCACTTTAACCATTTTTTTCTAAAGGAAAAGATGGTGGTGTACACAGTGCCTTCCTTTAGTGCGATGCCACTAAACAAAAAAAAATGGGTTATTTTTTGGGGGGGGCATGGCCCCCATTGCCCTGCCCCACATTTTTCTTGTTTCCTTTTTGTGTTTTTGTGTTTAAAGGAAAATGGCGTAATCATTCATGTTGCCACTAAGCCTACATGTTGAGTTAAACGGAATGACGTTTGGCCGCCACCATGAATTTCAGTTTTTCTCAGACTTGTACTTTGTGTTTTCTTAAAAAGAAGTGGTTTTCTAAATGAGAAAATAGCAAGGAAGAACCTGTTTTGCGCAAGCAAAATTCAGGGAATAATTCGTTGAAGTACATATCTTGTTGGAAAATTCCAAAATCATTTAAAAAAAAAAAAAGTAATTACCGCCGTGAATCAGAGTTTATGAAGGGATGGAAAGTGAGATTTGCTATCAACAAGGCCGTTCATCGTTCTTTACCTTATGGGATGTGAATCAATTGGAGGACGAGAGGCTCTGCGAGCTGATGTAATTTTTTAGAAAGAGAAAAAAAACTTAACAAATACGCTCAGCAGTTCAAACATGTACATACACCGGTATCCATACCGGTGAATTAATTAAGTCTTAAATAAACGGAAATCTTCCCTACAACCTGGTTGCAAAAAAACTGTTTTTCTAAAAAAAACATCAGCCCGCGGAGCCTCTCGTCCTCCAATTTGATCCACAACCCATAAAATATAAAGAATGAGGAACGGCCCTGTTGATGCTGATAGCAAATCCCACTTTCCGTCCCTTCATAAACTCTGATTCACGGCGGCAACTTTCTTGAAATGATTTTGGAATTTTCCAACAAGATATTAGTATCAACGGATTATTCCCTGAATTTTTCTTGCACAAAACCGGTTCTTCCTTGCTATTTTCTCAGCTAGAAAACCACTTCTTTTTAAGAAAACACAAGTACAAGTCTGAGGAAAACTAAAATTCATGGTTAAATTCCATTTAACTTAACATGTAGTGCATGGCGACATGTATGATTACGCCCTTTCCCTATAAACACAATCACGGATCAAGCTAAAGAGGGCAAATCTAGAAAGAGAGTCAAGCTACAGTTTTGATGTGATGCTTGTGATGTAATTTATCATCTTTGATGACCCACCCACTAAAACACGAATACATTTCATTCAAAAAGTCAGGGGAAAGTGGCCAGGAAATGCCTCAGATTGCACTACAGAGCATCTACATGAGCAAATGTCCAAAACTTTTCACTATACGATAGGCCAAATTTTGACGATTTAATTTTGACGATTTATGTAAAGTTCATCAAGTGACATATACTGGTTAAACTTGCAGTTGTGCAGTGCTCCAAAATGAGTCTTGTACAAATTACGAAACATAAAATTCCTATATACATGCACACGTATTTCTGTACAAATGTCAGATAAGTCGACCGTTGAGACAACTCGACTCGAGACAAGTCGACCGTTGAGACATCTCAACCGGAAATGTATACACGTGGAGCGGAAAAAGTTGCAAAAATCTGTGGCAGGACCGGTCCCGGGCGCGGCGCGGGCATACTCGATGCACAGAGGGCGATCCGATCCGGTGGCCGTCGCGTTAGGCCGGCGCGCCCTGCCCGCGAGGACCGGGCCCGGCCCGGCACGCGGGCATGTCAACCGGCGTGGCAAGTGGGCGCACAGGCCCGGCAAAAAACAATCACGCTGCGCTATATTGGCTCTGTTATATGCAACAAAAAACCTCATGTGTCATCACTCCCAAACGGCGATCAGCCGCCGTCAAAAATCCCCGGTACTATCCCCAAAACTAGGCCCAAAAACATGCGAGGCGACTTGTCTCAACGGTCGACTTGTCTTTCCATTTATCGCACATACGGTCGAGTTGTCTCAACGGTCGAGTTGTCTCAACGGTCGACTTGTCCCAAGTCGAGTTGTCTCAACGGTCGACTTGTCTGACCCCCTTCTTCTGTACAAATATTGATAGTGTTGGGGGGGAGGGTGGCTTTTGGTTACATTTAATTTGGGAGGGATTGGGTCAAATCCTGGATCTGCCTCTGCAGGCCTGCCAACTCTCACACACTGAACGTAAGACTCAAACATTTCAGGTTATTCTCATGCTCTAAAGCCGACATGGGATTTCTCAAAACTGGAAAATTATGTTTAAATGATGATAGCTCAAAAAGGTTTAAGTGGTCAAAAAATCGCCTCAGATCGCACCACAGAGCGTCTAGAATCCAAATTTTTTTGAGGCCCTTCAGCGGGCCCCGAACCCCACGCATCAACTGAGCTCCCTGCCCTAAGATGAGCCTGACCAATAATTTTTAGCTTCCTACGGGCCTGCGCACATTCTCCTTTTTTAAATATGATGGACACAATGTGAGGGCGCTATCTGGTTTAAACAACCCTTGGTATATACCATAGACATCTTAAATACCTATAGACCGGCGATTTGCCCCAAAATTTTCTTACACAATGCTTTGGCTCACGAACACTCGTCCAAGGTGCGGAAACACGCAAGGAGACGGTCGCATGACATGCATGTTATTTATGCCTGCGGCTCGTTCTTCACCTTTGATGAGTGTTCGCGTGACGCAGCATTTAGCATACCGAAATCTCGGACAAATCCCCAGTCCATGTTTTTAAGATGGTATTAAAGCGCTTTGATCTCAGTTAAAAGTACCCATTATTATGAGATTTCAAAATCATGACATCATCAGACGGCATGTTACTTTAGGGAGAATTTGAAAATGATAATTTTGAAAAAATTTTAATCCATCATTTGATCCGTGTCTCAATCGTGACTGTGTTCGTAGCACAAATAATGATATCCGGTACAATGTTGACCGTTGGCTTCCAAGTACTGTGAGGTCTTTATTAATACCGGTACATGCACGCACAATTTCCACATTTTCAGAGGCTGTTTACTTTATGATGAACTTGTATCCTCTTTGAACTATATACCAGTATTTATTTTCCCCTTTTTGACTGATGAAGTCATCAAACCAGAAATAGACCGGTTGCAGACGCGATCGATAATTGACGCGCGAAGGTGCACGACGCCATGTTATGGGACAAAATGTGCATGGATAGATATACGCCTGTCCCACAACATGGCGTCGCGCGCCTTCGCGCGTCGATTATCGAACACATCTGCAAGCGGTCTATTACTTGTACATGTACATGAAATGTATACTGAAATTTTTCATGCCCAATTAAAAGCACTTCTTTCTTTTTTTGAAACAAAACAAATGGTTATACTAAGTAAGATTTGAGGCTTTACATGGTGGAGGTACTAAATAATGAAAGGTTTGCGGAAACACCATGTGCGAATAATTGCTCAACTAAGAGAATGGTTCTGAAAAGAACGAGAGGTGTATTGAATTTTTTTGTTCTGACACTGATAAAAATATTCACAAATTAACTGCGCAGTGTCTAACAAAATATTTGTCTGCCCAATCACTCTGCGTTTGTAACTCAACAAACTTTAGTTTTGATTTCTTTTTTGTTAAAGGCATGCTTAGCTTTAGCTATTTGCTGACGGCTTCCATCACCCATTATGGCTGGCGCGGGGCGCTGAGGGTATTTAGCGGTGGAATACTCGCGGTTGGCACACTGACTGGATTGCTCTTCGCTGAACCGCCCACTGCTGAGGATCAGAACGACAGCATCATTAAAGGTACATACAGACAGAATTTGTTGTAATGGACTGAATACAGTGCATGAACACAAAATGGCGCTTTTTCTACAACTTGCGATAACTCCATTGAGAGGGGCACACCACTGGCTGGCACATACAACGCGAAGTATGTACAACTAATTTTGCTCTGAATATGTACAAATCTGTAACATCTTCACTCAAGGGCAGATCCAGAACACAATTTTGGGGGGGGGGCCAAAACATTTTTTTTTTTATTCTAGATGCTCTGTGGTGCGATCTGAGGCAATTTCTGACCACTTTAACCAATGTTTTTGGAGGAAAAGATGGTGGTGTACTCATTGCCTGCCTTTATTGCGATTGGGGGGGGGGGGCCATGGCCCCCTTTGGCCCCCCCCCCCTGGATCCGCCCTTGTCTTCACATGAGTGTCTCTCCCAGTGGTCTCCCCCAACTCTGGAACACCACTCTGAAATGCCAGCGTACTCTAGCGGTCAATTAACCTATCGCGCTAGAATCGCGCCAATGCAGCTTGTGAAATATTGTCCAATTACCAGTGTTGTAGTCGAGGCCACAACCTCCGAGGCCGAGGCCAAGGCCGAGGCCACAACCTCCGAGGCCAAGGCCAAGGCCGAGGCCACAACCGCGAGGCCAAGGCCAAGGCCGAGGCCACCGCCTCCGAGGCCAAGGCCGAGGCCGAGGCCAGCTATCAAAACACGTAATAAAATATAAATCACTAAAACAAGGCTAAGATTATGTTGGAGTTTTAACATCTTTTCAGTTGAATTCACTGAGTTTTGGAGTGCCTGGCTTACAAATTTACAGCTTGCAATGGGTTTCCTCTTGTAGGGAGTCCGGCGAATTAAATTTTTTAAAGAAAGAAATCTCAAGTTTTGTATCACTGAAAGCAAATTACACAACAAATCAATGGCGTTTGAATCAGTCTCATAGGTGTTTGCCCTTTGGAGATACAACAATTTAAATGGCCAACTTTTGAGTTTCTATTCTGTAAGATTTACATCGTTTACTTTTAGCATGTCTTATAAATCTTATTTTAAAAACCTATCAAAATGCTTAATATCATAGGAATCCCCATTCAATAAACAACAACTTGATTTTTGAGTCAGGTTTTTACCACTTATTACCAAAAAGTTACGACCCCCCCCGACTTTCGCACTGTCCAGGTGCGCGCCCCAGCAAACACCGCGATGCGACCAGACAATGCCAGATGGCCCGCCGTTACGCACGGGCAAAGCATAGTTCCAATCCAGCTCCTACAACGGGATAAGTGTCCACGCATTATCACCGTTAATACCGCGGTACCAGACAAAGTCTGGCAATGGCCAATCCCGCTCCAAGTAACACGGAACATGCGTGCATGATATCACTCACTCAGTTCATCAAAATGACCATGAATTCTCGGATCATCCGATTTGAATCCAATGGCTTCGAAGAATTTTAAGATCATGGCAAGAGGTAGGGATTCCAGAGGTTTTGGCCGTATATCTGTAACCACGCAAAATTAGTCAATTTCAAACCGTGCTTATGCATGTAATAAGTATCAACATGGCTCTAAAAGTACAAAAACGTATCCTGGTACCACGAGGAATACTGACTCCTATTATTAAAACATTCATTCAGAACTTTGCATTCATTTGGATGGAAAAACGAATTCTGAAATCGCGCTTTCCATATTGACCATTTGCGCCACACATTACCGTGTGAGCCGGAACTTTCATTGAAATTGCCGTGTAAAAATAAAATCTACTTGATAAATCGTAATTGTTTTTATCATATCTTTATTGGGAAAAAATGGTACGGACTTCTACACACGATCGTACCCAGAAAGTCAGACTTTTACTGAAACAGTGGCCTATAAAAAGAAATGATTAAGCTTGCCGCACCTTGCCGCAAATTATGTTTAAAGGTCGGGTACAGAGGCGAAACGAGAAAATGTTGTACAACACTGCGATCAGACTAGTCTACTACCACATGTTATTGTACGCAAATGGGAATGGTGCTAGACTTATGTAGTCTGGCACGCGGTAACAGTTATAATGCTTGCACGCACTTGGAAAGCCGAAGCGCAGGCTAGGCGAAGATGCTACGTACGTGAGTACGTATAATGCAACCATTTCCAGTTCATTCGTGCGTATACATTGTATGCGTTCGTTTCACGGAACCCACTGCGGCAGAATCTGGAGGGTTTGATACGGTAAACAAATAAAATTAATTAGAATAGAAAACACATCAAAATAGGCGGCCTCGAGCCGGCCTCGACCAATTCGCCGAGGCCGGAAGGCTCCGAGGCCGAGGCCAAGGCCGAGGCATTGCACCTCCGAGGCCAAGGCCGAGGCCGAGGCCATGAAAATCGGCCTCGAGGCCGGCCTCGAGGCCGAGGCCGGCCTCGAGACCTCCAACACTGCCAATTACAATATTCAAATGGACGCGGAACCCGCAAAATCTGAGACAAACAAAACTTAGCTTACAAAAATTCCATTGGGTTGTCTAAGGGGTGTGGCTAACTCGCAAACGGCGAAAGGTCAATAGCTGGCTTGCCATGCAAAGGAGGTACATGTAGTCAATTGCCTTTCTTCCAACGATTGCTTGGCTGGCTATTGTTGGAAAATGCTACAATTTTTGTTTTTCTTAAAATGGCAGCATACCAGATGCTACGATTCCACATGATGCTACTGTTTACTTATAACCAACTAAGCTTTGTTTACATAATATATTGACAATTTCATTTGGGATTTGTTTTTTTTATATGTTTTTCCATCGCCTTTAAAGGCACCTCTCAAGACCAGAAAAACGGTGCCGACAATGCATTAGCGATGCAGCAGATACACAATGGTGGCATGGAAGATAGTGGTGAAAGAGAAGTGCCGGCAGCTGACCCCAACTCTCAAGACGTCCACAATGGCAACAAAGATGATGGGGAGGGTGATAATACAAACGTGATAGAGGCGACAGAAGCAGATGACACTAATGCCCCACAGAAGGAACCCATGCACGTGGACACTGCAAACTCCTATGGATTGCTGGCCATGATTAAGGACCCAGAACCATGGCTTTGGACCATTGGGAAACTTCTAGCTTATCTGGGTCTGTCATTTTTCAATATCAACTTCGTAAGTGGACATTTCATTTAATATTAATCAAAATGATTCTGTAAACATGGTTGTGGTTCTTTGAATGGATGTTTTCACAGCAGATCATCACAAATTAATCATAAGTCAATCACATGTACTTCAGTCTCAAGAGACAAACTGTTGAAAACGAACTTTGATAAAAGCAATTTGTTTATACTTGTTACCTGCCTTGTGATTCACTTGTGAGTTTACTTTTGATTGTACTTATGATTGATTTGATTTCAAATCCAATGAAATGGTTCCTTATCTGTTATTATGCTGCCATCTGTTATTTTTGTAAGATGTATGTATTAAATCCTAATTCTGGGGGTTCTGCCATATGCAGCTGCCAGGTAGCAAGAGTGCTACGAGCCCCCTACTCAGTTTATTTAAAGGTATAGTCCATCATTTGTAATTTGTGCATTTTGTTCATTTGAAGCAACAAACTCAAATCTGAAAAAGGGTACTGAACAACTAACCTGATAAAGTTTCAGCTCAGCTTCAGCTGTGTATTCTGAGAAAAACAGCATTCTAGGATCTTGATTTCAAATCAAAAGTTGCTGAATCATGTTTTAATTTTGGCCTAAATTCAGCGTCCGAGACACGTTCTCACTGAGCCGATTGCAGCTACGCGATGTCGCACACTGATCCGACGAACTATAGCAACTGGGCACGTGTATGCGTCGTGTCAATTCTTGCGCGTGCTTCGCCGAATAACAAAACGACCTACTAATTTAAACTTCCTACGGTGCGTCTTAAGAAGCACGGTTGGAAAGGTCTTCGTTGATTTCCTCAAAATGACAGCTTGCCAGAAAGAATAACTTTACAGGGAGTTTAGTCCCCTTACTATCTTTCAACCAAGAATGTTTTTTCAACAATAATTACGCCAGTTACTTTTTGGATAGCTGCAAATGATGGACTTTAGCTTTAGCTAGCCTTCCCAACTAGCGCCCTCCTATTATGTCTGTCATATCTCAAAATGACTTATATTGTCTGATTTGATTACAGTGTATGTGATTTTTTGTTTTGCAGGCCAGTTTCTTGGAAGGGCTCCATTTTGATGTCAACCAGATAGCCTCCTCCATTGCGATTTATGCTAGCGGGGAACTCGGTGGCAAAGTCCTGATGGCCGTGGTAGGTGACCAGCTGCCCTTCTCCTATCTGTACGTGCTCGCCGGATCGTGTATTTTAAGCACCGTGACACTCGGCTTACTCTCTATTGCTAAGACATTTACAGCAATAGCAGTCCTTGCTGTAGGTGAGTAACAAGACAAGACAAGCCTAGTAAACTGGTCCCAGATATATATCACTATGAACATCTTCATCCCTTAAAAATTCATTAAAAGTCCATTTCTCCGTGAAAAGAATCTTTAAGAGATGTTTCACGGACGTTTACATGGGGCTTATATAGGACTAATCCTGTAAGGGTATTTTCACGTTTTTTTTAATGATCCTGGTTATACATAACGGTACACTGGGTCTATCTCCATGGCTAAACAAAGGGCTTTCTTAAAGGTGTTTTCACGGACTCCTAATCTGGCTTAATATGTTGAAAAATCCGCGAAAATATAGTTAACTGTATTTTCAAGGGAAAATGGCTCTTTAACGAATTTTTAAGGGATGAAGATGTTCATAGAGCACAAAAAAATTCTAGTCAATCAATAAGCCATTTGCAAGTGACCTATACCCTTTGGGATTTAAATTTGAAAAACATCTGGTACACTGACTTGCTCAGAATGCTTGGCACATTTAACTTTGAATTCTCCAGACCAAAGACACTGTTGCTAAACACATGATTCGGGGCAAGCTCTTGCATAGTTACAGAAGAGACACTCAGCACTAATACATTGTTCACAATGGGTGAGAATGGCACAAAGACACCAGACCATGCCGGCGCTGGGGGTTGCCAGCATAAGGCTTGCCACGAATCATGTGATATAGTAACAGTCGCTTTGGTCTGGAGAATGCAAAGTTAAAACGTGCAAAGCATTGGATTAAGTCAGCGTTCCCAATTTTATTCAAATTTAACTCGTAAATGGCTTATTCAGAATGGCTGTTCACTGGAAGTTTGCATGTATGTGGCCTACACAATGGGCTGAATTTAGCCACTTTTCATCTGACACACATTTCTTGGCACTTCCTATTCTTTAGAGTGAAATTCAAATTGAAATACATCTGACTTAATTGGTTCCTCTTCTTTTCTTTTTCAGTGTGTCATCTTTCACCTTTTGTTATTTCCTTTTTATTAAAATTGTTAGGGTAATTTTGTGTGTGTGTGTTACTTTTTGAGGTTTTTTTTTGTGGGGGAGCAAGGGCGTCAATCGCTTTTCAAAAGTGGGGGCAACATTCGTTGATTGGAACTATTGCGAGCGCACAGCGCGAAGCCCTAACGGCATGGGGTTCAGGGCCCGCTTAAGGGCCCCGAAAAATTTTGATTGTAGATGCTCTGTGGTGCGATTTGATGCAATTTCAAATTTTTAAGCAAATAATAATAATAATAATAATTTGAGTTTGGAGTAATTGAATTAGCTATTCTGAGCTATAAAATCATATGTAGGCTTCATTTTTTTGGAGGCGGATGAAAAAGTGGGGGGGGGGACAAACTATATGATATCCCCCTCACTTTGAAAAGTGGGGGGGGGACTTGCTCCCCCCGTCCCCCACCGATTGACGCCCATATGAGGGAGGCATGTTTAAACTCCCCAAACACAATTAACTGAGTGGTGCATACATTGTACGGGGAAGAGTGGAACAATTATACAAGCTGTAACCCGAGTTACCTTGTATAACCCCGTAAATTCGTGAGGAAAACGTCAAGTTGCTCCCTGGTTAATTGTGCATTCTTACCTAAATGCGTGTTTCTTGATCCGTCATTAGTTTCGGGCTTCTTGCGTGCTGGTGTGAATGCTACGTCCCTGGTTGTCAGTACAGAATTGTTCCAGCAGACTTACGGACCAAACGGCACCCTGACCCTGTACTTGTGTCCCATAGGTGTTGGAACCCTATTGGGTGGACTTCTATCAGGTACGGAACACAGTTTTGCGACTAGCTTAGGTGGCGATCGAGTCGCCTGCTTCAAGCGCGATAAATTTCTGAACATGTACACCCATACTTACACACTCTTTGCGCTTTATTGTATACATGTAGTAGTGATGAGTTCACTTCAAAACTGGTTTCTGTTGAAAACAAAACTGGTTTCTGTTGAAAACAAAACAAGGCAAGCTTAGTTTCGTTTGACCCCTTCCCCCCACCCCCCCCCCCCCACACACACACACACGCAGCCTTACACAGGCATAGAAGTGGGGTACTTCCTTTGTTCTTGTGTACTAAAATTGTGCAATGTCGCGCACTAATTTCAAAATGCTCTTATTTTCAACCAGAATTAATTTCCTGGGCTGAAATTCGGACTAAATAGCCCTTTTCTAAAACTCTTCCATTTGCGACTGATCAACCCACCTTGGAAATTCCTAGTTTTTGAGTAAAATCCAGAATTAATTTCCTGGCGGGCTGAAATTCGGACTTCATATCCCTTTTCTAAAACTCTTCCATTTGCAACTGATCAACCCACCTTGGAAATTCCTAGTTTTTGAGTAAAATCCATCTATTTCGTGAAAACCTTGTGGGGTACCAAAACGGTACCCCGCAAGTCGGTGGGCATTCCTTGTGGGGCACCTCCCATTGTTCCGGTACCCCATAAGGCAGTGTTTATATGTTCACACACCCCCCCCCCCCCCCAACCCATCCCAGCATACGGGCCTGTCTGTGGCATGTGGCCTGCACAGTACACCAGATTTAGCCCATTCATCGGCGTATGGGGTAATCGTATTCAAAACTTTTGGGCCAAGGTGAGACTTATTGGAGAACCCAAAAGTGACACAGTGAGGTGCAAAAAGGACCATAGGCTGGCACCTCTCGGACCAACAAAAACAATATTTAGTTGTGATCTTGGGTCAACACTTGTAGCAAAGCAGTATGATACCCATAATGCCTTGCAAAGCTTGCATTTCCTCCACGAGATTTCTTCAACGAAAGTAGTCTTAATCAGTGCCCTCAGATTTTGGGGAGGTTGTGATTTTAGGTGATGCGTTGGGCACTGCCATCGATCAATCAGCCTTTTTTTTCTATTTCATGGCTGGCTCAAGAGGATTGAGTTCAGAAAGGGTAGTAACTTCATACAGGATCAACGCAAACGTATTTCTACGCGGTTGAGTTATAGCACAAATCCAACGATCACACCCATCAAATATGAAACGTGTTTGGCAGTGTAATCGCGTCTCTGAGTTGACAAGTCTTTTTCCCTCTTGCATTTTTCTCTCGTTGCCAGGCATCTTGTACGACATATCGGGTGATTACGTCCTCAGTCTGATCGTCATAGCCGCCATCTTTCTTTGCGGCTCGGTGGCCTTGCTGGCCATTCCACTACGCAGGAGGATTCGATCACGTGGTCTGTGTTCGCACGAAACACATTCCATCCAAGGATAAAATACACTATCAAGGTCTAGCAATTACCAGCAAATATGTGTCCTGTGTAATTTATAATTCTCAATTTTTATTTAGGGGGAATTTTGTTTGCAGAATGAAACTTTGCAGTGACCTGAAATCTGACGTACGGTCCAACCATACAAAGTGATTTTGGAAGTCACAAAGTCTACTTTCGGGAAACAGACCTTTAGGCCAAAAAAAAGTCTGCGGTTTCTGGTATGGAGCTTTGCCAAAAAACGGTGGTGCGACAACACAGGGTTTTTTTCTCCTACTTTTTTTTGTCTTCAAACGTCGGCTGATGTTGCAGATGAAGCTTCGATCCCCTTAAAACTCTCAAAAATATCCTTCAGCGTGGAGCTTGAGGTGACCTCAGTAAGGCCATGAGGCTTGAGAAGTCTGCACCCACTTACGATCTCAACCGATATTCTTCGGGGAATTTGGATAAAGTCAAGACAAAAATCAGAGAAAACGGTAATGTTAGACCATACAGCTGGTCTTTAGTCTATTTCCTTACATATTGCCCTGATTAAAAAGCGTTTACAGGTTCCAGATACACGACCATCATTCTCTCAGTCTGGCTTCCAGAAGCAATATTACAACCCCGTCTGCAAATGGTTTCGAACTAAATTTAACCCATCTAAAAACATGTTAAAATTGTGCAGCAGCAGGATTCCAGTCAAACCAGTGAGTTTGACAGTTTTGAGACATCATCTTACATTGAAAAAAAAACTTTTTCATTTTGCTGACGCACATGGCTACGGTGATGCGGGCGCTGACCAGAAACCGGAGACTTTATTTTTTGGCCTTAAAGAGATGCCGCACTCTTTTCATCCATATTATCGTCAAATTTCAGCAAAATGTCAAACTTTGTGACGATATTATCAAATTGAAAAGCTGAGTTTATTAAGGCCTACATGTTGAATGAATGAGTGAACAAAATATTTTCTTAAACTCATGTTTTGACACAAACATCATGTGTTGTACATTTTGTAAACAAGATATTGTGACTATTTTTGCTAAAATATTATAGTGTATAATAATTTTAGGGGTTTTTTTTCCTGGAGTGCATGCAAATTAAATAAATAACTGAATAAGCATTAAACAATACTGTGTTTTTCATCATTCTGGTCTTGCAACTTATTGTAATAAATCTTGATATTTGACAAGGACGAGCCCTTGTTAGCAAATTGCAAAATCTTGCATTGTTCTTAGAAAAAGAGGGAGGTGTTCATTTCCTTTACATTTTTCCTGTGTGGTCATGGGAGACAAGGGCCTAGGGAACGGGTGCAGACCTAAAAAGGCCTAGAATTTCCTATGCACGGCAAATCAGGATTTGTGTGCCCTCAATTTGTTACTGTTATTTTTGAGGACCATGAATTGAAGGTTTGTAAATAAAGACGGGTGGAAGCCGTGCACTATTTTGCCCTGTTTTTCAAATGGCGATGGGCCTCGGGACTTCTTTTAGGGGTGAGCATCTTTGGATGGAATCTTCTCCCAAAAGTCATTGGGTTATCCCCAAAAGAAGTGAACAGAAAATGAAAGATGATGAAATAAGCTTATTTGATGGGCGTCTCAAACACCTTGGAGAGTTGTGAGTATTTTTAATAAGTGTAATTATCGATGAGGTCTTTGGGAGTCGGTTTACCTGTCTGCACCCTTCGGGGTCCAGACCAGTGATGATGTTCGTCCTTCGCATGCGAAGAAGACCCATGACGTGTGCGAAGATGCCCGATAAGGCCGATCCTCGCGCAGTATGACCGGTTGCAGTGAGGGCAAGTGTTGGTTGGGGGCTGACTAGGTGAGAAGGAGGAACTTGATCTGTTCCTGCGGAGCTGTCGTTTCTTTTCGTCCTTCGCATGCAAAGATGACCAATGACATGTGTGCGAAGATGCCTGATAAGGCCGATCCTCGCGCAGTATGACCGTTTGCATTGAGGGCAAGCGTTGGTGGGGGGCTGACTAGGTGAGGAGGAACTTGATCTGTTCCTGCAGAGCTGTCGTTTCCTTTCGGCCTCACAGATGTGGCCTTTCTCATACTTCGTCACGCTGTGCTTGACCAAATTACGCCAGTTGGTGTGGTGCTGCAAACCCCCCCCCCCCCCCCCACGTTTCTGGATCTATGCTGCAACTTTTGAGGGAGGCCTTTAGGGGTGTCTTTGTAAGTTTCCTCTGGCTACTTTGCTAGCACTTTTCATGACAGTGTTCGCCGTAGAGCAGTCTCTTTGGCAGGCGCTCCTCTGGCATGCGACGGAAATGACTGGCCCATGTCAGCTGGGAATGTTTGAGTGTGGCATGGATGCTTTCCATTTCAGCCCTGTGTAAGACTCCGTGTCTGGAAGTTTGTCCTGCCTTTTAATGTGGAGCAGCTTCCTGAGACATCTCATGTGGAAGGCATTGAGCTGCTTGGAATGCCGGCTGTATACAGTCCAAGTTTCACAGGCGTACAGGAGGGAAGGGAGCACAACAGGGCGGTAGACTTTGAGCTTAGTCTTAAGGGTGATTGCTCTAAGCTCCCACACCGAGGCGTGAAGTCTGCCGAAGGCAGTGCTTGCGAGAGCGATCCTATAGGCAACCTCATCGGCGATGTTGCCAATGCGAGACAGGGTGCTGCCTAGGTAGACAAACTTGTCTGCCACGTCCATCGTCCACGGTGATGTAGGGCTCTGTGTAGGGGACTCCAGGAGCGGGTTGACATCACCTCTGTTTTTTTGGTGCTGATGGTGAGGCCACAGTCTGTGCATGATGTGACGAAGCAGTCTGTGCTCATCTGCTCTTCCAGTTCCTTGGAGGCATATTCAATGCGCAATCGTCTGTGAAGAGAAAGTTCCTGAGAGTGGTCATCTGGACTTTGGTCTTTGCCTTGAGTCTGCGCAGACTGAACATCTTGTCATCAGTGCGGTATTGCAGGTCGACCCCTATGTCCCTGGAGAGAAAGGCATCTGTCAGCATAGCAGAGAACATCATGCTGAACAGGGTAGGTGCCAAGAGGCAGCCTTGCTTCCCTTCGTTGGCCACACGGAAGTGCTCAGATAATGTGCCGTCGTCTTGGACTCGAGCCTGCATGCCGTCGTGGAATTTGCAGATCATGTTGACAAACACGTCGGGGCAGCCAAACTTTGACATAATCTTCCACAGGCCCTCTCGGCTAACAGTGTCAAAAGCCTTTGTCAGCTCCACAAATGTGGAGTATAGGCCGACATTCTGCTGCTGGTACTTCTCCTGGACTTGGCGGGCTGTAAAGATCATATCCACTGTGCTGCAACCTTGTCCGTATCCACTCTGGCTCTTGGGTAGTAGGTCGTGTTCAAGGTGCTCTGTCAGGTGGTTCAGCAGGACTCTGGCCAGAAGTTTCCCGCGATCAATCAATCAATCAAAAGAAATTTATAAAGCGCCAAAATCAAAAAGTTTGCTCTAAGGCGCTGATGAGGCACCAAAAAGAAGAAAATTATTGATGGTACACCTCCTGAAACAGGTGGACAGCAGAGAGATGCCTCGATGGTTGTAACAGTCCTGCCTATTGCCCTTGCTCTTGTACAGATGTACGACGGAGGCCCCCTTGAACTCCTGTGGCAGCTTGCCTTCTCTCCACATCGTGCGGAAAAAGTAGACAGCTGACTGGTCAGAACTCCGCCACCAGCTGCATAGATTTCAGCTGGAATGTCGTCGGCACCAGCTGCTTTGCCATTGGACAATCCTCTGATGGCTTTAGCGGCCTCAGCATCTGTTGGCGGCTCATCAAGGGTAGTGTCGGGATCTGGGGAAGATGTGCAATGGCTTCATCATTGATTACTATGGCGATTTGGTGCCTTGAGGTCTCCTGGGTGGGTGCATCCAGGAAGTCCTATACACTTGAGAAGGCAGAAGATGGAGTTGGTGATCAAGAGCTTGTGTGCCGCACATGCTTCTAGAAAAAGGGTGTTGTTGCTGTTGCTGTTGCAGCTAGCAATGTTGGTTTTTAACGAGGACATGGTCGGTGCCGACTCTGATCGACGTTGTAGTCACCAGAATGATGAGCTTGTCTGCCCTGGGCACTATAGTGATGGTGGAGGTAAGGTCCTCATAGAACTTCTCCTTCAGATCATCAGGGTTGGTCAAAGTGGGAGTGTAGGCACTGATGAGCGTGGCGGAACGTTTACCTGGGAGTGGCAGTTGCATGCATGGTCATTAGCTGGTCATTGACACCTTTAGGTGGTACAGCCAGCTTGCTGACCAAGTTGGCTTTGACAGCAAAGCCAACTCCAGCCTTTCGTCGCTCTGCCTCACTACAGTCGATCCAAAAAAGTGTAGCCAGCACTGACTTCTGACAGCTGTCCCTATTCTGCAGGGCGGGTCTCACTCAGGGCGGCGATTTGGATGCCATGCCTGTCCAGTTCTCTGGCGATCAAGTCAGTTCTCCTCCCTGATCTAGAGGCGCCAGCCCTATCCAATAGTGTGCGCACATTCCGTGCGCTTGAGTGATCGATGTCACCTTTCTTTTTCTTTTTCCCTTTGTTGCTTACCACTGGTACTAGGACTCCAGCTCCAGCTGGCCAGGAATCGGTGAGGCAGTCAATGTTTTGGCACCTTTTCTAGCCCGCTCCTCGTGCCAAGGAGATGAGCAGTGCGGCCTTGAGGAGGGCTGCTCAGTCACCCAGCCTGCCAAAGTCCAGCGCTGCCTTGGTCACTGGAAGGCTACCTTATGGCCTGAGCCGCCTATGTGCGGGTTTGTGGCTACGGCTCCCAGTGTGTCCACACCTGCCTTGTCATTTCCCCATCGCCGCAGGACTTGAGACGATGATGTCATGGGAATGGAAGGGTGAAGTCATGACTGCGCGATGGCTTAGATTACAGTGAGGTGGGGTTGCGCTGTGCTGACCTCACTCTCTCGCCCGAGACCATATATTGCAAGACAGAGCCAAGAGAGCTGGAGATAAATCTGGGTGCAGTGGATGGTCTGGATGTTTTCTGTGCCCCATCCAACTTGCAGCTTTCAACAAAGCGTGCTGGTATCGCCGTCCTGCCCGTTGGACCACAAGAGTCTCCTCAGCGCATTCAGCCGAAAACCAGTCTTTGCATGCTCAAGGTAGGCAAGCCCTCAATCACCACGATGCTTGGTGCAATATCACCAGAAGGTCTGAAACCCGTTGGCTACCCTCAACCTTGCCCAAGCCATGGTCGAATGCCGAACAGTTACTTGGAGCCACAGGTTAGAGTTGAGAAGTAGACTGCCATTTAAGGCTAACGGGTCCTACCCAGACCAGTTAATAGACTGCCACAGACCTTAGTGGTAGTTACGCGCTCTCCCAAATTATTACAACTGTATAAAAATACTCAAAACTCTCTGAAATGTTCAAGACACGCATCAAAATAACGCATCTGTTTTATCTGCAGCCACGAGCTAAAATTTCATGCAGCTTAGTTGTCATGCATTCTACATTTGCAGTTTTGTTTCTACAAATAAAAAAAACGAGTGGGCCTACACGAAAAGAGGATGACGTACCCTATCCCCTTTTATGCAAACATATGACAAGTGACGGTCATGATTTTTGTGTGGTAAGCTCGTATAAATTTGGATGAAGTTAGCCCAAAATGGATCTATTTTGCAAAGGAGCGTTGGCGTCCATTTTCAAAATTGCGATGGGTATAAGCTTCAGGCCTGCTTTTAGGGGTGCACGGTGTAACTTGCGTGATCATCGTTGGATGAAATTTCCCCCGAAAAGTAGAACAAGAATTGAACAGAAAGTGAAAGATTATGGAATAAGCTTTAATTTGATATGTATCTCAAACGCATTGGAGAGTTGTGAGTATTTTTAATAATTTTGGGAAGTGCGCGTTATTACCACTAAGGCCTATATGGTGGTGTATTTACTGGTCTGCACCCTTTTAAGTTCGGACTTCAAATATAGGGACAGCTCAGGTAGCAAGCGGTATAGAAGCGCTCTGATGTATGGAAATTTATTATGCATGACCCGTTACAGGTCTGAATCCCGCCTCCTGAATCACGCAATGTTTGTCCGCAACCATCCTATTGCAAAATGGCATTTTCAGAGGTGATAAGCTTCGATTTTTGCTGAATTCGAAAGTGTCTCTGGCAAATATCAATAAAGAGAGCAAAATTACTCTTCAGTATTTAAAACCTATGCAGTTGAAATGCTAGAAAGTTACCTTCATGGAGTCACTAACGATTTTGCGTACTTTTTGTGGCAAGACAAGAGTGAGGTTTTTTTTATAATCGTGTGTTCAATCACCGTCTGTGCACAGAGAGCTCAACCGCGATTTGAAAATAAACAAATATGGTGCGTGCGTGCAGAGGTGATCCAGTCAATGGCTTTGAATGGGAGAGCCGGGATGGATGGGGGCCGGGAAACAGTCTAAGGGGTACAGATCATCGATCATGCGCTGAGCCAGTATTTTTTTGTAAACATGCGTACAATAAGAGAATGATAAACAACTTCTATCCCTGGTGGATGCTTTTATACAAGTGCTGTACGGTTGGGTAAACTTCAAAAACTGCACTTAACAATAAGCAAAGCAACAATATGCGGCGCTGAGCGATGCATCTATTGCACACTGTACGTGTACATCTGAGTTTCGGTATATCGCCATTGGAGTACTTATCCTGTAGCGGCGGCGAAAGAACGATTAATTTGTAAGTAAGAACAAAATGATTGTATCAACTTAAACGGTGGAGGATCACTAAAACCTTTAAAGCCAATATAACTTGTACTGTGAATCCGTTTTTAATTTTTTTTTTTTAATCCGTTTTTTAATCATGATATCGAGTTGACTTGATGACAGATGGCGTTGGCCTATCTGCTGCTTGGTGCCATTTTGTCGCACAGGGCCGGGGTACACCTGGGAAGTGGTCGTTTTTTTTTTCGTGGGTAACTCACAAACAATGAAAACATGAAATGGGCACAACCGATGGGGAAAAAAGCTGTCTTTTTTTATTTCCCACAATTTCTGAGTTGGGGGTGCACTTTGCCTTAGCTGAGTTGATTGCGCCCATGCTCTCCCTTCGTGTTCCAGTTTAACGTCACTGAAACTCAAACACAATAATACATTTGTCCGACTGGAATACTTGTATAACCCAGGAGTCTCGGACTAAGATGTTTTCGTTCCTGAAAAATGTAAAGGGTTGTTTTCTGACAATTATCAGACAAAATATATTGTGCCATGATAATGTGATGAAATAACAGGAATTGGAGAACATGTGCATGTGATTATGCAGATGTTATAGTAATGGGCCTACTTCCCCTGTGGAGATGACACAACCGTACCTGATGTCGCTTCATTATAGATGCCCGCGGAAGTTCGGGGCCATTCATAGACTAACATTGCATCCAAACGGAACAGTTTCGGACCAATGCTGTCACAGGAAGCTTAATATTGCAAGCGTTGGTGAAGAAGCGTTTGGTTTGTGTTACTGATTTTCAGCTACATTGTTTATGCGATGAGCAAGGGCTTCAACATCCTTCCATAGATTTGTTTTCCAGCTCAAGTTCAACCTCAAGTCATGGCCTGCCAGTGCTGGTGGTGGCGCTGGGTAGTCACACTAGCGGCATTCAATGTGACATTTCTCTGTCTCGGACTTCTGTACAACTACAGCATACTCTTCGTGAGTTTGAAGGAGGAATTCCATGCTGGATCCGCAGCAACAGGTAGGCTAAACACCCAAACGTTAGAAGTATAGCACCTTTTTGGGATAAGGTGCACGCGCGTGCGGCCCTTATGGAATAAAGAATTAGTTAAAGGCACGTAGGAATTGAAAACATACCTGAAGTGGACCAACCCGAAGGTAGAGTACAGCATTTTGTAATGTGTGCATAATGTTAGTTTGAAGCATCGAAAGTGCTCATAACCTAAGACGGGCAGTGTTGTAGTCGAGACCGGATAGTCCGAGACCGAGACCAAGACCGAGACCTGAAGATTCGAGACCGAGACCGAGACCGAGACCAGCCCCTTCAAGGCGGACCGAGACCGAGACCAATATGGTCCGAGACCGAGACCGAGACCGAGACCGCTGATAATGAATAACAAAAGTCGAAATTAAAAAAAACAAGACACGTTATTATAGTTGAAAAATTTACCTTTCTATTCACAAAGAATACAGACCAAAATTTCGACCAGTGGCAGTGTTGACAAATTGATACATGACACCTTACTTGAGCAAAAAGTAGTTACACTTAAGAAACATGGGCTTTGACATGTTGTCTACACCCAATCGTGACAAAAGTAAAAAGTTAAGGATAGATGTTTCATCTGTTATAGGAACTCGGATCCTAAACTCCACATTCACCCCCTTGGTTTCAGCTATGCCTTCTAACGGATATTTAAAGATGCAATTTTAATTTTACATTGCCTCTTTTTTCCTAAAATAAATTTAGGACTTAACTTCTAACAAGACTTTTGTACTTGATTTTAAAAAATGGGAGCTAGAAAATGTTGAATTAATTTTTAAATTTTTGTCATAGAATGTGGACTTGTACATGTAGACCCACAAGTTGCGAGGTGGTAGCCAGAATGTGCTAGATATGGATTTTTAATTTTTTCTGAACGGGATTTTTAATTTTTGAGGAATAATGGGGTACTTTAAAATGAGCAGCCAGAAAATGGGGTCTCATCATACACTCTCATGGCAACAGTGGGTGGTAACTTGTACATGTAAGGGGCCATTCAGAATTTTCAATGTTTTAAAATTTCGACTTTTTTTCCAAATTATTTTGACCCACCCACCCACCCCTAATTTCGATTAATAAAAAAACTGAACATGACTGTACATGTACATGCACTTGCATGTACATGTACTTGAACACCATGTACATGTTCATGTGTGTCTAGTTCAGTGACGGCGTGAAGTTGTTGGTCATCCTCTTTTATGTGATAAAATATGTGATACCTCACCAAAAAGTATCTTTTAACGAAATTCAATCAGAATATTTATCCATTTTTTTTTTAAATGTTTAATTGTTGTTTTACTTGTTGGTGTCCCTGCCACACTGTACGATGGTGTAGCCGTGCGTTATGCACGTGGATTGTATACTTTCGTTTTGATGGGGACTTTACTGAATAGAGTCTGGTGACTGTACATAGAAATTTCTTTGAATAAAAGTCGAATCGTTCATTCATGTGCACTTGTTATGCAAAGCAGGGGCAGTGGTTCAAGGATATCCAGTCGACTTGCAGAAAGTGTGCAAGAACGCGACTTGAATGCTTTTATGTGTCCACAATACAACGACGCTTTTTAGTTATTTCACTGTGTGACACAGTGAAAATTTTTGGAATCATAGGCCTAATGGCGTCAGCGATACTTGCTGGGGAGCTCTTGCGTACGACTTTCTGTACTTTGGTACTGTTATTTCCAGGACAATTGTGTGTACGGTAACCCGACGTACCAAGATTTTTAAAGACGAAATTGCCGACCTCAAACTTGTTAGTGCCATATTTGGCAACTATTATGTGCGTTATTAGTTTAATTAAACAAATGAACAGGTTAATTAAACATAGTACCATTGAAGGTACCTAAAAGTAAACAACACCATAGAAGACCGACAGACGAACATAAAATGTTACAAAATAAACATATTTGTCTGGATAATTTTTTTAGGGCGTTACCGGAAAGTTAACACAAACTTGGTGTCAAATAGATCATGAGAGTTACTTTTCTTTGACTTTTCATACAAGTTTACATAAACTTTAACTGTATGACCTGCAGTGGCGTAGCCACGGGGGGGGGGGCGTGGGAGGCGCCACCCCCCCCCCCTCCATGAAACCTTGTCGCCCACCCCCCAGTCGCCTCCCCCACTGAGATTTTGAGTTTCGAAAAAAAAATCATTGATCTACATGACGCCCCCCCCCCATGAAATGTTCAAGCCCCCCCCCCCCCCCCCCCCCCCCCCACACACACACACACACACACACACACACACTGAAAAATTCCTGGCTATGCCACTGACAGTACATACAGGGGACTAAGTTGGAAAAGAAACACGCATCGCGATATTGCGCGTTTGCAAGTCAAAAGATCTATCTTTCTTTGTTTTTGTATCTTTTTTTCCATGGAAAGTGAATTTCGATTTTCAATTATTTAGCTTGACCCACCCACCCACAATTTGGAAAAAGATCGAAATTTTGAAACACTGAAAATTCTGAATGGCCGCTAAGAGTGTGTGAGTTAAAATCTGGAAAATCAGGTAGAAAAATTTACTTTTAAAAATACTGTCAAAATACTGTCCCAAATTAAAGAGAACATTGTGTGGGGTCGAAAATATAACTAATTTGAAGCACCTCATTTAATATCAGAATACAAAATGCAAGTGATTACGCCCACAGGGGTGGGCTAAACTACACAATCCCCGAAAATGGTTGACACTTATTGCATAAATTGTTACATGTACAAGTTTATACTTTGCTTTATGTGGCCGATTCAACAGATAAATGCCGAACTTGTTCCAAATCGTTCAGTAACTGGTACTGCTGGAGCTTTACATGTACTTTGGGGACTTTCCAACGTGCAGGCGAGTCCGAACCGACCGCGATATATAACAAGCTTGATCTACGGGCTAGCAAATGTTTTAAATAACAACGGTACTGAACGAAGTGAACACAAAGTAATCGATCGAGCTGTAAAAGCTACAATATTGCCGGTCTCGACCCGAGACCAGCCAAAATATCGAGACCAAAGGGGACCGAGACCGAGACCAAGACCGAGACCACAGCTTCCGAGACCGAGACCGAGACCAGCAAAAAGTGGTCTCGAGACCGGTCTCGAGACCGGTCTCGAGACCTACAACACTGAAGACGGGTGCTGAACCACTAACCTGCCGGAGGAGTTTTAGCTCAGTGAATGCTGTAGTCCTATATTCTGAGAAAACAGTATTCTTGGATCTCGGTTTCAATTCAAAAGTTGCCGAGTCATGTTTTGAATTGCGCCCAAATTCAGTGTCCGGGACACGTTCTCATTCAGCCGATTGCAGTTACGCGATGTCGCGCAATGAACCGACGAATTATAGCAACCGCGCGCGCGTGTGCGTACTGTCAACGCTTGCGCGCGCTTCGCCGAATTAGAAAAACAAAATACTAATAGAAATTTCCAAAAATGCGTCTTTAGACACATCGTTGGAAATGACCTTCTTTTATTGTTTTCTTCAAAATGACAGCATGACAGAAAGAACAATTTCACAAGGAGTTTGAGTGCCATATTACTATATCTTTAAACCAAGTAAGCTTTTCAACAAGTTTTGTCAGCGACTTTTTTGACATTTGCAAATGATACTCTTTAATGAGAAAAAAACTCGCTCAAAGTGAAGACGGGGACGGTATCAAATACCGTGTGGAATTAGTCCGCTAGAAATGGTATCGTTCGGAAGAAACAAACCATTGATAGAAGAGGTTTTCTCTGAGGGAGGCACTTACCAGTCCTAAATTCTGTATGACCGTATGTATATGTTAAAGTTTTTTGAATTACTTTTATTTCCTAAACATTCACCTGAATTGCATAAAACTTGGACACGAGCATCATTGAGTAGCAAAGATAATGTGGAATTTATTTCAGGTCATAGGTCAACTGAGGTTAATAATGATGTAATTCACAGTTTTGGGGGAAAGTTTACAACATTGTACGTGCTTTCCTTGATTTTGATGAAACTTGCATGCAGTGACCCTTGGGTGGGAAAACAATTCTTCATCGGATTACTGGGGCCAGAGGTCATGTAGGGGTCATTAGAGGTCATTGTTCAAATATGCTTCAAATATATTGTCTACAGAATTTGATGGATTGTAATGTCACTTGGATGGAGTAATCCCTTGGGTGGGGGTTCATCACAGTTCTTCCAAAATTGAAGGTCAAAGGTCATCTAGGGGTCATTTGTGGTCGTTGAAAAATGCCCCAAATGTGGGTTTTTTGTAAGAACACAACACATATAAGGATCGACCGCGGAAAAAGGCGACATGCGGTCCGCGGACCACTTGTTTTTAAAAACGTGTGCCGTGCGTTGGCAGCGAAATCCAGTGACGATATCGGCACATGTGCGTTTGTTGTCTGTGTTTTTTCCGAATTGTAGTGTATAAGCCATTGAACTGAAACTTCGGTTAGTTGTTATGCACCCAAAAATTAAGTGTTCACATTTCGGCCTTTAGTTCCAACACAAAAGTTCCAAATATCCACACATTATGCGTGCACTTGAGCCACTGAATGTGTTTAATTATAGGACGCTCAATTTGTTTGCTAAATTTCAGGTTGGGTTGGTTCCGTGGCTATAGCCCTTACCGGCCTCTGTAGCCCTCTCACGGTCATCCTCGAACGCAAGCTGAGCAAGCGAACTATTGTCAACCTAGGAGTTGTCGTCTTCAGCGCAGGACTGTTCGTGACGTCATTCGTTCCGGCCCTAGGCTACGCCTATTTCACGTTTGGAGTTATGACGGGGGTCGGTGCGAACTTCATCAACCAGCCCACAATGGTAGTGGTTTTGGAGTGGTTTGCGAGAAAGAATTTCTCCCGTGCAATGGTCTTTACTTTGTTAGGATCAACTTGCGGTAATTATAGATTCGCTCGTATCCACCGCCCAAACTGCTAGGGCGCTGGGGAAGGGCTAGTCTCTTTCACAAAATTATGTGAAGGAAGCACAGGCGTTGCAAAGCACTGTGGTAGTTTGCTGCCTTAATCAATGCACGTACCTTCAGCGGTTACACCTCTATGTTCCGACACGCCTAGGTTCCGACACCCCTATATTCCGACAACTCAACCTATGGTCCGACACCCCTATGTTACGACTTCTCGACCGTGCTCCGACACTGTTCCGACTGCACATATTCTTATCCCTATAACTAGCCCTAAACCTAACCCTATAACTCTCACCGGGAGTAACACAATATTTTGTGCAGGTTGTCAGAACATAGGAGTGTCGGAACATATAGGGTAGTGTCGGAAGATAGGTTGAGCAGTCGGAATTAACATAGGAGTGTCGGAACATAGGTTGAGTTGTCGGAACATAGAGGTGTCGGAACAAAGGGGTGTCGGAACATAGGTGTCGGAACATAGGTGTCGGAACATAGAGCAGCCACCACATGCACATTCAGCGCTCTGACAAAAATCTATACAATGAGGGCTCGACGAAATTGACCTGTCGCCGTTTGGAATTTTGTACGTTAAGTTTTGTTTGTCTCAGATGTTTCGCGTTCCGCGTCCATTCGTATATCGTGAATTGGACGATATTTCACAAGCTACATTGACACGATTCTACCGCGACAAGGACATGAGGGTGGGTCCTGAAGAAATTAGCCCTTCCAGCGCCCTGTTTGGGTGGGGTACGAGCGAATAATTAAAATCACATGTAGTTGTTACCCATAGTTATTCACCGATTGAGGGCTCTGTCGTTAGTTCGTTTTTAATACGTTTAAACTAATACAGAGTTGAATGCGCTATTACGAAAGTGACGTTGCTTTTTTTCGTACTTTCTCAAGTTGTACAATTTCAGTATTTTTTTTTTAATTTCAAAATGATAGCTTCCCAATCGTCAGGCCAGGCTCTGTCATGATTAACAGAACGTCGATCGATATGCACACTTGCCAATGAAAAGTCTCACAGGAAATTGCAGACTTCCTTTGTTGCCATCGGGCTTTAGTCTCGGAAAATGTAAGTATTCTCAGTTACCTTTTACAGGTATGTTGGTATTCAGTCCCGTGCTAACGACGTGCATTAGTCACTACGGATGGCGCGGTGCACTGAGAATTCTGGGCGGTGGCATCCTCGTTTTGGGCGTCGCGAACGGCATGTTTCTGACCGACCCACCAACTGAAGACTACACTGCGGCGCCCGATGATGAGCCTCCTGACGAAAAACACGAACTGGAGAACATGGGCAAGATGAAGCAAGTTCCGGAAGGGGGCACCAAGGGGTCTGATTATGAAAAGCGAAGCAGCAAGGGTCACGGTGCTGACTTAAATGAAGGGAACAATGACCTCCAAGTGAACAACATCGACAGCTGTGGATTTCTGCACCTTATTAAGAGCCTTGAGGTTTGGTTGTGGTCCATTGGTGTGCTGTTCGGTTACATTGGGTGGAATTTCTTCAATATCAATTTTGTGAGTAGCCTAAGTGTAACGCCTGAGCAGGCTGAAATGATATGAAAGGTTTATTATACAAATACAACATTTTTTTAGGGGTAACAGGTGCGTTACATTTATGACTATTAATAAGGGAATAAATGTGTGCTCCGGAGGTTTTTATCACTCTGTTTAATACCACTTAGAGTCTTGGTGCTGATAATTACCCGAGCCGGAGGCGAGGGTAATTATCAGCACCCAGACTCTAAGTGGTATTAAACAGAGTGATAAATACCGACGGAGTACATATTTATTCCCATTCATAAATACCTTTTCGGTAAAAAAAAATCATATAATTCGTTCAAAACATCCCGATTTTGTTCAACAAATTCACTTTATGCTTTTTGAAACATCCCTCTAGCAAAATAATGGAGTGTTCAGCTGGCGAGTAAGATGAAAACAACCCTTTTATGGAGATTGACGCGCGCGTATCATGTTCTACGCAATGTCGCGCAGAACGCACCTGGCGCGTTGCGTTTTGAATTTAGAACTATAAAATTCTAACTCCCTGGTAGTGTTGCGCATGCCTACGTGAGGATTGTGAACGTTCAACCAATGAAACGATAAGAGGCACTGGATTTTTAGGAGTCCACATTTTATTGTGACACTGGAAAAGTGTTTAAGACCAGCTAGCCATGTCTTTATCATCCGTTTAATACCGGCCACGTGACGGGCTCTCGACCAATAGGAATGGCTAAACTGTCTGAGGTATTTATGAATGCTATATTAGCCTAAATATAACGCCTGAGCAGGCTGAAATAATATGAAAGGTTTATGATACAGATACAACATTCTTTATAGAGGTAACAAGTGCATTACATATAACATATTTGACATACCTTTTTTTTTGTTAATTTCATTGAGAAGTGCACTTCTTTAAGTAAAAAATGTAATTGTCCATGCTTTTGCGGACAACTGAGGACGCTGTTGCAGTGATGTCATTTCAGGAAGACACTGTTCAGTTATGGGTTTTCTGTTTAAATTGTGAACCCCAGCGATTGCTTATTGAAACTATTATGTTGAGAGAGAAGTTTGCCCATTGGCTTATTGCCGGTACTGACACAACGAATCACCAAAGAAAAGAAAATTTACGACGGAGAAATGCCCAAAATTCTGGCAACTTTTGCTGCTGAATAGCTGTAACGTTGAGGTTTCTGCCTGAAATGACATCACACTATTGCTCATGAATATGGAATTTAGCATCAGCATAAAAATCAAAAAGGCAGCAAATACGCTTGGAAATGACCTAACGAACATTTAAAAAAAATAGGGTTAAATGGAAGTGAGTCTAGGGTCAACCTTGGCTTACCAAAGCATGATGTTTCTCACTTATGAACTGTCTTCTCTTAATAAAGGCCAGTTTCATGAAAGGACTTGATTTCAGCAGCAGCCAGACAGCCTCCGCCATTATGATATTTGCTTGTGGGGAGATTGGCGGGAAATTGCTCATAGGTGTGATCGGAGATCGTCTGCCCTTCATGTCCTTGTACTTGCTCGTTATATCGTGTATCTTTGGAACTGTCGTCCTGGGATTGCTGGCCATTGTTAAGACTTTTACAACGGTTGCTGTCGTCGCTGTAGGTAAGTTGTTCAATGCTTCGACCTATACAGGGCGAGTAAAAATAAGACGATACCCAAAATGTCGGGACTATTGTTATAGTGAAGTTGTGCATGTAGCACTTTCAAAATCTAGGATATAAAAGTCCAATTCATAAGATTTCTTTTAGTACAAGAATCAATCAAATCACTCGTGTAATTGTTAAGTTATGGAATTATAAACACAACCACCGTTTTAAAGTTCTGTCCACGGATCACAAAAAGGTACGTGTTCTTTCAGCAAAACGAAACCAAATCACATAGGGATGTGTGTGAATTGCTTTCGTTTTGCTGAAAGAACGCACACCTTTTTTTGTGATTCGTGGACAGAACTTTAAAACGGTGGTTGTGTTTAAAATTCCGCAACTAAAAAGTACATGAGTGATTTGAATGATTCTTGTCTTAAAAGAAAGCGTATGAATTGGGCTTCATATCCTAGATTTTGAAAGTGCAACATGCAGAAAAATAAAACAATAGTCCCGACATTTGGGTTTCGCTTCTTCTTTTTTTTTTACTCACACTGTATAGTAATTCATGGGCGGCCTAGAGCAAGTTCGGGCGAGGGCCGTTAGTCGACTGGGTTATTTGTGGCGTTAATTGCGTCTGCGCACTAATAGCAACGTGCGAACTCCTCTAGTCAAACGATGGTCGAAACGTCAACACAAAACGTCTTGGTCCTGGCTCCTAGTTGTGGATAATGATGCGCATGCCTATCAAGGGCGGATCCAGGGGGGGGGGCCAAAGGGGGCCATGGCCCCCCCAAAAAACGAAACCAATTTTTTTTTTTTTTTTATGTGACATCGCAATAAAGGCAGGCAATGAGTACACCACCATCTTTTCCTCAAAAAACATTGGTTAAAGTGGTCAGAAATTGCCTCAGATTGCACCACAGAGCATCTAGAATCCAAAAAATTTTCGGGGCCCTTACGGGCCCCGAACCCCACGCCGTAATTTTTTTGACCCACTTTTTTGGGGGACCAAAAAATTTTTTTGGCCCCCCAAAAAATTGTGTTCTGGATCCGCCCTTGATGCCTATTGGTAACAAGCGATGGAAATGTGCCCTGTGGTCCGGTTCCAAATAGTCGATTAGAGTATATAGTCTAACCATCCCGCCTTATTTTGAGCGAAGTTAGTCGAACTAATAACTAGATATAACTCGCGCCCGAATTTGCTCATAGTCTTTTTTCCCATTTGGTATAGGAGACCGAACGAACTCAACCAGATCCTACGAAGAAAAGTCTATTGAACATTTTATTTTTAAATTTATTTTAACATGAACAAATTACTGGCTCTTCATGTTGATATACTTGATGATTATAAGGAATAAAATGTCAGTAAAGGTGTTGACAGTTCCTTTTTATTTCCATTGTGCAAAATTTGTTTGACACGGCTCGTCAAAAGTAGTCAAGGGCGGATCCCCCCCCCCCAAAAAAAAAAACATTTGTTTTAAAGTGATGTCGCAATAAATTTAAAGGCGGGCACTGCGTTCACCACCATCTGTGTACACCAAAGCATTTAGAATCAAAAAAACTTTCGGGGCCCTTAAGCGGCCCCCCAAAAAATTTTTAAAAAAAATTGTATTCTGGATCCGCCCATGAGAGTAGTTAGACTAATTTCTAATTGAATTTGGTAAGGAAGTATTTTTTTGTGTGTGGGGATATTAATGACAAATGTTTTATTTTGTTTCACCCAGGGCACCGGCACTGGAATCATCACGCCCCAGTAAACCCACCCCGGCACCCTATTGCCAACGCGTCTTTGGACGAAAAAAAAACAACGAATATGTTTTCTTTTTTCCCCATTTTAGTGTCCGGCTTGCTGCGATCGTGTATCCATGGGACAACTATTCCAAGTGCAGCGCAGTTGTTTCACGAGGCATATGGCGCCCATACTGTCGAGGTGTTATCGTTTGTGCCACCGGGGATCGGAACGCTGATAAGTGCACCTATATCAGGTAAAGTGTACCAAAGTGTGAAATGTTCTCAAGGTGTAAGAAAAACAAACTCGGTCGGATCTCGGAAGCTGCGGAAAAACGAATTCCCGTTCACATTATTTTGACCTTTGACCTCATAACTGTATAGGTCAGATGAAGAGGTAACCATGGACATCTTTTTAATGTTTGACCATATGGAGGTAGGTGGTTTGACCATGGCCATTTGAGCTTTTTTGAAATTTGACGTTATTTTGACCTTGACCCCACGATGACCTCAAGTTGACCCAGTTTGGTCATGTAACAGTTTGGGGCTGGGCTACTGATGATCCTTTTGACAAAGTTTGGTTGAAATTGGTCAAAATATGTAGGAGCAATAGACAATGTCAACGTTTTTGTTACTAACTCACTAACTAACTATAGCTAACGCATGGACTAACGCAACGGTGACCAATTTTGGTCAGCATGGCCACTCCTTGAGATTTTGCCCAATCCGATCTTGGGAATTTAGGCCAGGCCTTGGGAATATGTCGCTGAGCCTTAGGATTTTTTTTGCATACTGTGAACGCACAAAAGTATAGATGGCGCATGCGCAAAATGTTATCTGAAGCACTTTGTGAGCCCCATTCACATAAAAATGCTGTTATTGTGATGCAAAGTGCTAATATCTTGGGAAATCTTGGGAATTTTTCAGAGGACATCTTGGGAATTTCTAATTAGATGGGTGGCCACGCTGAATTCGGTTGCTGCGCGTGCCGATGTTGCCAGCGGTAAAGGCTGCTTTTAAGCTGTGGCAATGACTAGAGCAGGCTAGTCGAAATTTACGTTGATACCAAAGACAGGTTTTTTTTAGAATTTAAAGCAGGACTGTTCTTATCAGAATTAAACCCACGTCGCGAAAGCAGGACAAGTTCTTACCGCAAACCGAAACGATAGCATTCCCCGAAAATACCCGAGGTTTTTTGAACATGGTTTCGTTGGCACAGGAATGTTGAGTCCCGATAAATCTTCATTTTCCTTCAGTTGATGCAGCATGCAAATTAGAAGGTTTAAAACTTGTTCATTTGTGTTTCGTATGTTTCGATCTCGTTGCTAGGTGTATTGTATGACGTCACGGGTGACTACGTCCTCGGCATTTTTGTCATCGCCGCCATCTTTGTCTGTGCGTCGGCAGCGTTGCTTGGCATTCCCTTGCACAGGAGGTTTGGGTCTCGTGGATTGTCTGGCTCGGGTGGATCAAGCCTTCCCGTTCCATTATAAGCTGCTGGTACAGAGATAACGCCGCCATATTTGTACCTCCATAGGCCATAATTGAGCGCTTGAGGGCGCACTGTACTGACGCCATTTTCTGGATATAGACATCGATGGTACAGACCATTGATCTCCATATACACTGTACACAGACTGGATAGGACATCGCGCCGTGTTTGTGCACGAATGCGCGGCCGAACAATGGCGGCGCGTTGACTGTCAGACGGGTAAACGCGCATTGTGCTTTCACTTTGTTTACTTTGGAAAATTGATTATCGAGCGACATTTTTCTTACAAGTTACAGGAGGGAAATCAAGCGCTCCTCCAAAACCAATCTTAAACTAACTGAACGATGAAGAGTTACCCTCAATCCCTCCAAACAGCTTTTCCACACTTTCTTGATATACACTTTATTATGCATTTTCGAAATTCAAGAACCCCCATTTCCTTTTTTTTTTTAAATCCCTCCTCCTCCCAAAAATGATTGTAAGTAAATTGCCATTTTATTTTTGGCCCATTGGTCATTAGAGCACACTGAATTACTCCATCAATGAAATGATTATTGTATTAATAATATGCTGAAATGACATCATATTTTTTAACTGAACACTCACACGAGAAATTGTATGGATATTCATTCAAATGATTGATATATTTATTAAAAACCCGAACATAAACCAATTAGAATCTAAAAGGTAAGGAAAAACCTTAATTTTACAAAGTAATCAGTAAAAACTTCTTCCCGTCCCTAGATTGATCAGGGAATGACATCGTTCACCTCTTGTGATATTGTGTGAAAGGAGATGAATCACAAAGCAAAATTATATTTTTGTCAAAGAATAATTCAAGCTACGCACGGTCTTGTTTTATAATTAAATGTTTAGCTATACTTCTGAAAATAAATATAATTACTTGTAAGTATAATGGGAATCGTTTTTGTGAGCGAATATGACGGTGTATTAATGGCTATAACTAATAATCTTATATAACGGCGTACACAATATAATTTCAAACCGTAAAAGTACTCATTGCTTTCTTCACCATACAAACTGTCAATATAAATGTGTCAGTCATCTTGGAGCTCACAAAAATACTTGCGTTGAACCCCACAGCTTCTTTCCAAAAAGAAAAATCAATCAATCTTAACAGGTTTACATAAAGAATAGATTAAGTCAAACTCTCAGATGCCCATCACATCGCATGTTCCATTCAGTGGATGATATACGGTATTCGATTCCATCCCTCCGTGAAGTTCTCCATTTTCGTCCGTCTCGGAAATCGTCCTGCAGCTGGTAGTTTTTGCTATGGCTTTGCTGAAGTTCTTTGTTTGATATGAAGGTCAATCGGCCGGTTGTGCAGTAATTTAGCATAAACCACCTCCTCGGTTTCTCTTTATAAAGAATAGAAACATTTCGGTAGGCGTTTAAGGCAGACATAATTCAATCAGATTTTGCATATAAAAGTTATAAAAGTTATAAAAGTTATTTGAATAAACTATTTTAAACAAGTCAACTTTTGTTCATTGCCATTGCCATTGCCGGGTCAGTCATGCACGTTTAGGCCTATGTCTTTTAAAGAAAAATGATGCCGACCAGCATGACACTGACAGGCCTAGACTTATGGAATTTGAACAGAATATCTCGCTATAGCTACCACACAGGCCTCCATCCCCTCAAACTCACAGCGACATTAACGATATTATAATTTGCTTTGTCGTTCCCATGTTCATATTCCTCCATGCCCATGTTGTATAGGCCTCGTTAAAAAAACAACTTACTTGCGAATAATTGTCCTATTCTTCAACGCTCCTTACTTCCCGACTCCAGCAATCTAATGCTGCGCACACCTTGATTATACTCCTCGTCGATTTTGATCAATTTAGATCTCTGTTTCTTTTATTCTTTCAAAAATGACAAAGAAACCGAAGAAAACCCAACTTCTTTTTTGAATCCTCCGTTCGAAAGTGTACACAATTCGAATGCGAATTTGTGTTCTTTACCCTTTTCAAAAAACGCGCGCGCGGACGCACGTTCGTACGCGATGTCCTATCCAGTCTGTGTATATGGAGATCAATGGTACAGACACTAAGAATATCACGTTTAACATTTCATTCATAAAATTTACAACTTGTAAACTGGTTTTTTTTTTATTACAGCAACAATTGGACTACATCGCCCTCAGTCGCTGAAAACTATGACCTATTGGTAATAGGCCGATCCACTAAGCCCCTCCCACTGCGCACAGACTGCATAATTCCAGACGCGCGCGTCGTACTTAAAATTAGTGTTTAGACTGTTATTTTCGCTGGACATTATTTTGGTTAAGCGGTCACGGCTGATGCGATTGGTCAAATTTTCGTAGACGGGCTGAATGGATCGGTCTATTGCGACTGAGAAAACATACAACAATGTAGCCTGGGAATAGTCGTTGAGTATGCTCAGATGCACCATACATGTGTATTTGCAAGTTACGCATGATGTCATTCTTAAGGCCTCCCTTACAGAAATGTCCCATGGGCATCCCATGGGATGCCCACGGGGTCATCAATAACACCATGTTAGTTAAAATGATCACCATGGGAGATTTTATGCTCATCATGGAAAAACCATGGGAACACCATGGAGATTGCATGGACACCATGGGAACACCATTGAGATTGCATGGACACCATGGGAATACCATGGAGATTTTATGAGCTCCATGGGAACACCATAAAGGAATTTATGAACACCATGGAAACACCATGGGGATTTTATGGACACCATTGGAACACAATGGGGAATTTGTGAACACCATGGGAACACCATGAGGATTTTATGGACACCATGGTAAGACCATGAGGAAACTGACGTATGTAAATGTACATACTATGCTGCATCGGGAGTCCGGGGAGTCCTGTTTATTTATACGTCACGATTTACTATGTTTTGTTTGCTGCCCCCAGCGACGACTTTTACACAAATTGCACGTTCGGGTCGAAACACGACCTGAAAAACAGCTCTCAAAGTACCTTTTGTACTTATTTCATGACAGACACAATAGTCGTTTTTATTTCATCACACCTTAGGCTACATATACCCGGAAAAAGACGGAAATGTCTTCGAGCATTCCACAACCTCTTTAAGAACAGGTTGAATGTTGCAACAGTATTGGTAATTTTGCTTGATAAATTGAGGTTCACGATGTGAACTTGGAATATGGATTTTTGTTGCATGTATAGCATGCATCGTAATATCGCTAACGGATTTTTAAATGTATTGATTCAACCATACTGTCTTCATTTTGCATGTTGAAATAAGGTTATCGTGTTTTATGTGTATGGTGTGGGTTTTTGGTTAGGTATAACGTATAAATTTGTATTCTCGTTATGCCTAATGTGTTTTTCATAGAAGTCTCCATTTTAGTGTTGTTTTTAGTAGTTTTGAATTTGGGGTGCCAGGTCACTGTTAGGTGTAGATTTCATCTTTTATTTAGAGACATTTAGATATACATGATTTTATTAACTTAGTTCTAAAATGTATACAGTCAGGGTACATCTTTCATATTTTATTTAGAGATATTTAGATATGCATGTTTTTATTGAGTAAATTCTACAATTTATACAGGTACAGATTTAATATTTTTATTAATAGACATTTAGATATAGATGTTTTTATGACTTCATTCTGAAATTTATATTGTGCTTTATTGTGATATTAATGGGCCTATGCAACCTTCGAATCCTCTTAAATATATATAAAAAAACCTATTTTGACATCCCTTTTTTGCGCTAAATTTATTGAGAAGTACACTTCTCTAAACTTATAAAAAAAATTCCATGCCTTTCCGGACAGCTGAGGGCGCTGTTACGCGTGAGTGTCATTTCAGCACAAAAAGACACTGTTCGTTTTAGGTGTTATATGTTTTTGAACCAAAAATAAATGTTCATTGAAAACATTGGTGAGAAAAGTTTGCTCATTTCCTTACTGCCATGTACTAACAAGGAATCACTAAGGAAAGGAAAATTTACGACAGCGAAATATCAAAAAATCTGGCAACTCTTTGTGCTGAAACCTAGTTGTAACATTGAGGTTTCTGCCTCGAATGACATCACACTTTTGCTCATGAATATATGGAAATTTGGCTTAGCATAAAAGACACAAAAATATTCTTGAAAATGGCAAACAGAAATAAAAAGTAGGGGAGTTGGGGACAGGTACGTGCATTTTCAAGGATTGTATTAAAAAAATTTATATTGCATATCCCTTTCAACCAATACTCCCTCTAGCGCCCAAAATCGCCTGAAGCGAACAGTGATTTCATGGATTCTTCAGTGAATAAATACAAATGTAATACACAAATGATTTCAATAAGCACATTTTTGAGTTCACAAATTGAATCAAAAATACTGGTAAACTGAAGTGTCTTCCTGAAATGACACTACTGCAACAGCGCCCTCAGTTGACCGGAAAAGCATGTAATTTTTTCATGCTTTTGTGTAATTTTTATTAATTATTCTTTATAAATAAACCATACACTTTAAATCACCTTTCGTAGATTTTGTCAAATTGATTATTTAACTGTTGTGTTGTATCCGTGCCTCACAAATCAAAAATGGGGGGCATGTAAACAGGCACGTGCTTCTTTATTCTGCATGATTTTCCTATTTCAAGGGGGCTACCTCCCCCCCCCCCCCCCCCCGTAGATACGGACGATCCCCTTCCTTTCGCTTTTCCCATTTTTACGAACGAAAAAAAGGGTAATGTAACTTTTATTCCAAACAAAATACCATTTTGCCCCCTCCCCCGCCTCCCCTGACCCAAAACCTGAATACGCTTCTGGCCTTTTTACTTTTGATAACTTTTACGGTCTAGATCACATGACAACTTGCTTTTAAAGGAAACATGCAGTGGAAATTCAGCTCATCTTGTTTTTATGTATATTACTATGTGTTGCAACAATATGTACAAGATCTTATTGCTTGTTTTCATTGGAAGTGACAAGAAAGTGGTAGTTTTTCAATTATTAGCTAATCCTTTCATTTATACATGTAAGAGGGCGCTATTTTACTTTTGTCACACAAGGTACTCCTTGTCAAAAGTGCATATGAACAGTACAAAAATTAGTCCTTCAAATT